GCAAAGGGCCATGTCTGTGCATGGCGAGCAGGAACCGAACTTGCTGCACTCCTAAGGCTAGAAAGAATTGAGCCAGCACTCCTCCTGATGCCTCAGAGGAAGTCAAAAGAGGAAATTCAGCACTGGTGCCATCAGAACACAGCCTTCTATCTCATCAAATGACAGGCTTGTATTTCCACTGCTTTTGAGGCTTGATCTTGAAAAAACAAAGATTCTATTTGAAGAAATAATAACAAAGGCTTTCTGTTTCTAAAAACTGCTGTCTTCATTGGTTCCAGAGTTTCATTGCTACTGCTGTTCGCTTTGTTTTCCATATTTCTGACACAACCACATACCTTATTACTTGAGACTGGAACGTACCTCCCTCCAGGATGTGCAGCCTACACACCAACATTGGAGATGCAAAATCTCCTCAGGTGTTTGGCTTTGACCCGAGCCATGTCACACTTCAATGATGGGAAAAAAAAAAAACAACCACAAAAACTTGAACAGAGAGGAGGATTTTCAGGAATAAGAGAACATTCTGCACACCGTGACTGACGTGCCACCTGTCTGCCTGTCCTCTATGGAGCTGCAGCTGAGTCACCCTCCAGTCTCTTTCAAGAGCGCACGTTTATTCATCAGAATTCTTAATGCAAAAATAAACAAGCACAATTTCACTTCTCTGACTGGTATGAATTCAAACATGAATTCAGCTTCTTGCTTTTACCATTCTACCATTCGTATTAAGGACAATAACAATGCAATGCAAATAAATAGCCAACATACATTTAAAAATACATCCGGAATTTTTTAAAGAAGGCCATGCAAGCCACTCTCTACAAATTTATGTCTTCATGTATTTGTATTGTAGGAAAAGAAAACAGACTCTGGACTTTGCCACAGAAATGCCCCCGTCCAAAAAAATCCGTTCAGTGGGGATTTTTCAGCCTTTTGAGCAGCTTGTGTAAGAGCTGAAAATCTGCTCGTCATCTACTATGTCCTTTCTGGAATGTTATTTTCCACATTTATATTGGATGACAAACGATACCTATCCTATACTACAGCAGATCATGTAGGAAACCTGTCGGACTGGGTACTTGCAAACCACGTCAGCAAAAATTAATGAAGGAAAAGCCTCTTTCCCCAAATACAGCTGCTAACCCCCTAAGCAAGTTAATCCTCATATCCTTTTTAAGCTCAGACACATCTCTCTCTACAACAACTTCCTTTAGGCAGCCGTTAAGGTAAGAAAAAGCCCACAGCAATAAGCCACAAAACTGGCAATGCAATGAAAACGGTGCTGCTGGTCCCTCCTCTCTCTGCACGGCTGCATGATGATGGCTGCTCCGGCAAACTGAGCTCAGCATACATATGAAGGAGCCATATCGAAACGCAGGGACAAAAGGCCTTCCTCGGCTTTAAGGCTCCAGCTGGCAGCCTTTCTGCTGGAGATGTCAGCTGGAAGAGCAGCACACAGCAGGAAGCAGCCTCTGCACCTGCAAGCCCTCTGCTCGCAAAGAAGCTGTTCTGCCTTCTTTTCTAGCAGCAACTCTGCCTAACAGAGCCGGAGCCCCAGGATGGCAGTGCAAAGCATCTGGCATGCTAATTTGTTGAAGAATTAATGTTGCTTACCTGCAATTCAACATCATTTAGCCCAGTCCCAAAGATTTCAAAAGCATCCTTTCTTTAGTGGTATGGCTGCAAAGCACTGATGTCATGGGGAGGAAGCAGTAATAATCATGTGACTGCATCCTCCGTCTATAGGATATCTGATAGGAGAGGGGCAGAGAGACAAAGCAAGCTGTAATCCTGCAGGATTACACTGCAAGCTTCTTTATCCCTCCCTACCTATTCTTGAGCACTGCATTCTTGAGCACAATACCTGGTGCTTTTCTTTCCCCCTCACCTGAGAAGCGGTTGCTTTTTTTCTTTACAGAGAGTTCATAAAATTCTGCTGCAACAGCACTAACAAACACATTTTTCATGAAGAAAAAGCAATTTATAGACTGTACAAATTAAGATGCATTCCTATTTACCATGCAGCAGCACCCAGGTGTTGTAATAATCCTATTTCATCTTTTTGAAATATGTAATCCCAGTGGCCTGGGAGTCAGACAAACAAATTCCACCATCCCTTGCATTTTTCCTTCTCCTCACGCTCCATTTCAAGCTTAGCAGATTGATTAACCCTCCATAGCCAAGCTTTGCAAAATGACCCCAGAGGCTCAGTCCCTGACGTTATCTTCAATCTCCACCCTGTTCACCCATTAAATCATCCCACCTGCACCCTTCTGCCTTTTATCTGTGAAACCATTGCTGCTTGAAAGATCCTCTCTTCCTTCAAAACTTCGGCTTAAATCCTCCTATCAAGTGTTTCAACACTAGAACATCATAAAATGTTTTGTTCAAATGCAGTGATTATCTTTCATCATTTTGCTCAACCGCGCATTACACGCCAGCACTGTTTTGTTGCATTTTGTTCTGCTGTTGTTATACCCTGCAATGTACTGTATTCAGGCTCTACAGCAAAATAACCATGTTGAAAGTTGATGGTACAAATGTTGCACCCCCCACGAGGATCATGCTGTGCAACACAGGGTTATTACTATTCAAGAAGACAGCATACGAACACTTGTGCATGAAACCTTATTTCAGGACACGTGCCTTACAGCTTGGTTCATCTTATCCAAACTCTGCACAGACAGCTTGTACACTTGAGGGCATTCAGGGCTGTGCTTTGTATTATCAAGCAGGTGCACAGGTAGGCAGAGGAAGACCTTGTCCAGGCACACATGATAACGCCCATGAGTGACTGAAGGCACACACATGGTTTCCACAAACCTCAAAGGCTGAGGAGCACAGTTCCAGAAGGTCTTTTTGTTCCAGAGTGCTTAGGCAAATACCTGGGGATGCTCTAAGCAGACAGGCCGGCCCAACAGAGCAAGTCAGTTGGTACAGAGTGCACAGAATCTTTTCAGAATGGCTCCACAGCTCCACCAAATCTTGTCTGCAAACCAGAGGAAGTTCCTGAATTCCCTGTTTCTCATATGGATTCCACAAACAGAAGCCACATTTTCAATTTTATTATGAAACCTGAGCACTTCACTTGCCTCACCTGAAATTCCCACATCCTTCTGGAACAAGGAACATGCCTTTAGAAAAGAGATTTGATTATGCCCTTTACATCGTAGCACAGATCACATTTCTCTATTGTTCGTGCATCAGCAACAGCTGCAGACCTACTATAATCACATCAGGAAAGTGGAGAAAAGTGAAAGAACTTCTTGTCAGTGTCTGTTATTTGTGCCCATTAGAAGCAAAATTAATAAGCCAGTTGAATTCTGTGGAGGAAGTTAAACACTGGCACTTAATTTTTTTCCTTGATAATTTATCTGCAATTTTCCTTGATCACTTTATTGAAAGAGTGTAGGGAAAACAGCAAGCAGCAATGGATTAGTCAGATGCAATCATAAATACTTAGGAACTTTTGTGTCATAAGACACATAACAGAACATAAATACCATGTCCTAGACACAAAATAGCTATTAAATGCACTAACCAAATGAGAACAACGGTATTAACCTCCTTTTTCTTCCTTGATAGACTTACCTAAATTCCCTTCCCAGTTTTCCTCATCTTCCTACAGATGAACTCACCGAGTCTTTTGCTGAATGCATATTTCCACTTGGATAGTCTGGCTGTCATAGGGACAGAATACCTAACTTACTATAGAATATGTCATTCTATAACCCAGATTCTATTTCCAAGAAGATTTTAACTTCCAAGAATGCTGAGATGTTCCGAAGTACAAGCAAGTCACTTAGCTGATACACAGAGAGATTCCAAAACCAAATCAATTTCATGCTTTGGTATTTTCTTCCAATCTTAGTGAGTCAATCAGGTAGTCTCAGGAAAAGGGAAATAAGTGTTCATATGCTGTTTTGGAAAAAAACAAACAAAAAAACCAAAGAAACGAAACAGTTCTTCCTTTTGCTAGCTTGCAGTTTCTGAAGTCCCTCTGTAAATATATTTTTCTTCTCATAGTCCCATGCCTCTACTGTTAGAAAAGAGATGGGATCCAAAACAAGCAGTAAAACTCCCTCCTCCCTAAAAACACAATTCAAATCAGTTTTGCATCATGCTGAAAATGGACACAGAACATGTAGTTCATCTAACTGCTAAAAAAAATCTGCTCTTTATATATAGCACTTACCTTGAAATTTTGCAAAGCACTCACACAAAGCACTCACAGCAAGAAATATATACAAGACTTAATTCTTATATCAGCAGATCCATACCAACCTACCCATTACAACTTTTGTAGCTGATCCTGATGGTAGCGAGACAGTTGGTATTCCAGATGACTATTTCAAGCAGACCATTTTAAAAATAACCTAAACTCTGTCATACCCTTAACGCCTTGCAAATCCTGCACAGAGAAAGGTGTCATGTGTCAGTACTTCCATTCTGACTGTGCTCCTGCAGCTCAGGGTAGCAGAGAGCAACGACAACAACAACAAGGGTCTTTCTACAAATATTAAGGTGGAAAGCGCCAATAAAATGCAGCCTAAAAATGTTCATGTGTGTTCTTTTGAGTGGTTTCCGGATTGGGACTGGTCATGAACTATACTATAGGAATAACAGTGTCCAAACACAAATCTACTAAGTAAGAAATCCTGCTAGGAAAAAAAGAAAAAAAAACCAGACAACTCAGTGTGTGGTAGAGGAGCCAGCCAGGAATTTGGAATATTCAACCATGAGCTTTAGATACAGGTGTCAACTCATTGTGAGTAGTAACCACATAGGAAAACGTACCCGCCATTCTTTACGCTCCGCATCCATTTCAGGTCTTCAGTGTAACCTCTCTAGAATCCCTGAATTCACAGATTTCCTCTTTCTTTTATTTGAAAGCATTCACTGTTACGCAAATATACAATGTCTTTATGAAAGGGTCACAAACGTGGCAAATATAAACCCCTGAAACAATGTCTTCTTCTGTGGCATTGAACAGAATTCTATTTGTTTATGGCAAATTATTTTATTTTGTAGAAGAAATACTTTCAAATAATACAAAAATGACACAATCATACAGAACTGTGACAAAAACAAGAGAGATGAATACTGAATATGATAACTCATTACCACATCAAGACAGAACTTGTTACAGTAGTCAGAATCACAGACTCACGAGATAAACTGATGACGTCTCACAGCGGTCACTAATTAAAAACACCAACAGAACTCCCTAACAGAGAAGCCACCAGACATCGTCCCTTTGTTATATGTATATGGTCAGAGATCAATTTAGGGTGGGAGGAAGGTTCCCAACCCAGCCCTTGCACAAGGTGGGTCTAATGCAACCAGGCTGCCCTGGACCATACCCAATCAAGTCCTCGATCCCTCCATGGACAGAGAGCTCATAACCTCTCTGGGCAACCTCTTCCAGTATTCAGACACTGCCATGAGAACACGGTGTTGTCTATTCTTAGCACAAAGCAAGTATTTCTGGAAGCACTGCATGGTAACTTAGGATAAATACTACTATGAAAGGGCCTCCACTGATCATGAGACATGAAATTCCGACCAACTGATCATTTCAAGTAACAGGCACCTGAAAGCTTGCTGTCCCTAGACTTTTACCCAAACACTAACAACTTGTTTTTTATCTGTATAGTTTAAGTACTAGTTTAAAATTAACTGTCTTTGCTAATCATCCTCATTGAGTAATGACTGAGATTTAACTCCCAATGTCCAATACATGTGGCCTCAGATCGAGCAAATAAGAAGCAATTCAGCTTCACTTTCAGGTTTTCCTTACTTTTGACACACAGAATACAAGCTCTTGATACAAAGAATGCTTGCAAAATATTTTAAAGTACTCCCATTGATCAGAGGTTTTCATGAATCTGCTTAGTTTCTGACTGCTGCTGCTTTGGTTTCTTGGCATAAAAATTTGAAGCCAATCTGACCTGGGCACATCCCCTTGATGAAAAGAGAGCACGATCTTCTTTCTAGGCAATTCTAGCAATTTGCAAAGTTAGTCTTGTGTTGGGCACCTCTTTTTGCAGGTAATGCATAATTAGAAAAATACAAGAAGCTCTATTATAGTAGCTTAGTAAAGAAGTATTTTTACATACTTGCAGGATGCAAGGACACAAAACTGGCATTCTCGGGAATGCAGAGCGACAGTCTTTCACGACAATGAACAAGTAAAATTATTTTTACCAGATCTCAGCTCATCCAACCAGCAATCAAGTGAGCTATATCTCCCAGAATTGTAACTTCCTCCCCGGAAAGCGTCACTGTTCAAAAGAAGTCACATGCAGTAACCTCAAAGCAGATCCTTTAGAAAGAATACGTGTTTAAGCACCCTTCCTTACAGCAGCTGCTTTCTGAAATTAGCACGTATTCCTGAATCAGGTCAGAATCTTGAAACTGTAGGAATTGCTATATCCCTTTAGCACTTTAGCTAGCTCACAGAGCTCTCTTAACTCCCTTTCCCTTAAACAGCAAAACAAAGATCTGTCACCCTTTTCCTTCCTCCGTTTAAATTGAGCATCTAGTTAAGAATATAAAGATATTTTAGAGACAACCAAAATGAAAACATTCTATTAGTGCACAGTAAGAACATGCAAACGAATTCTGCAGCGTTTAACGTCGCTTCTAATCACTGTTAAACACACTGCAGGTGATAATATTTTGCTATGACACAGACGGTGCTAAAGGATACAATGTACATAATAAGCTACAGATAATAAAGCTGAAAAAAGTGACAATTTTAGAACATAGTATTTTCATTTCAGGTATCAGAAACAAAACCAGCTCAATGGTTCCATTCTACTGTATGACAAATACTGAAGAACAAAATTTCAGTCTTAAAATACATCTTAAAGTAGGTATTTTCCTTCAAGGAAAAAAGGCACTATAAATAAATTACACTACAGTGAATTTGCCTGAACTCACTTTGTTTCTGTCTTCCAGCCTTTAAGTCAAATAAAACAGCATAAAAACTGTACACGCTCTTAACAGGATAGTCGATCTTTTATAAAATAAGTTGTCTTCAGAGATGTCAATTTCACAACAAGGAAAAACCAAGCCTTGTTGTAGTCGCTATTATAAAATATATATATGTATATATATTTATATATATGTTTTTGTTTACTTTTACTTTTTTTCCTTTTTTTATTTTTTACAAAACGTGTATATTAGCTTTTGCACTTTTCTTTGTTTGCTTTTTTTTTTTTTTTTTTTTAAAGAAACTTGGCTAATCTAATAACTTCATTAAAATAAAAGCGATAAATACTTCATGTTTACAATGCAACATGTCATACATCATCAGCCGGCAGAGGAGGTATGTTAATCCTTGGTCTTGTAAAAAATGCTATCTTCTCTCTGTGATCAAAAAAGATGAAAAGAAGTCAGACGTATGTCATAGAATCACAGAATCATAGAATGGTCTGGGCTGAAAAGGATCATCTAGTTTCATCAGAGATCATCTGGTTTCAACCCTCCTGCTATGTGCAGGGTCGCTAACAGAATCACACAGAATCTCAGAATGGCCAGAGTTGGAAGGGACCTCAAGGGTCATGAATCTCCGACCCCCTGCCACATGCAGGGCTGCCAACCTCCACATTTAAATACTAGACCAGGCTGCCCAGGGCTCCATGCAATCTGGCCTTGAACACCTCCAGGTACGGGGCATGCACAACCTCTCTGGGCAGCCTGTTCCAGCACCTCACTCTCGCTGTAAAGCACTTCCCCCTGATATTCAACCTAAATCTTCCCTCCCTGTCCTGCTTTTCCCAACCCCTTGCAATAACCATTTCTTTACTCATTATTTCTTACTACTTATACACCGACCTCAGGGCTTACTTGAGTACAAGTAACTTACACAAAACCCTCACTGTATACTTTTGGAAGCATTCCCCTGAACACAATTAGTAGTTTTGAAAATTTAGGTGCAAAGTTTATAGAACTGGACATCAACTACAGTTCACTCTAAAAAGGTTCCATAGGACCTAAGTCCTCCGTGCAATGCAAAGTTCACCTCTGACATTTTGCAATAATGCCTACAATAACTACAATGAAGACAACATTAAGATTAACCTTGCTTCTCTATTAGGCAAACAGTATATGCTGTAAAGTAACTGTCATAAGAAATGGATGTGTGCACATAAGGTGCAAGAATGTATACAATCAAATTGTCCTTCACTTCATTTACCTCATTTTTATCAATTTCCGATATCATTTTATAAGCACAGAAGTTCAGTCATTACCAGAAACAAATGATGTAAAAACAACCCTAAAATCCCCATTCTTCTTAATTCCTCTCCACATCTGTGAGGAAGGCTTTTCCCTTCCCAATATTACAGAACGGACAAGTTTTCTGCTTAAGTGTCTCTCATAAACAAATTCTAAAAAATCTGAACATTGTGTAAAACAGTATCATGTAAAACTGTTGCTGATCTTCCTCCCATGCCTACACCCACCCTAAAAATATTTTTAACAATTAAAGCCAAATTCTTCCTGTGAAGTGCACACTGTTTATACGCAAACTAAATCTAGGACACACACTACATGAAAATAGATGAACAGGAACCAAAGCCCAAAGAAAAGGCTTAAGAGAAAGCTGGAAGATTATTGAGCAATTTTCAGAGAAACAGTGTCTCTAGTAATTTACATGCATGACACTGAACAAACTGTTCAGGCCTACAGGACAGCACTGAAGAGCTGAGAAATCGTTTCAACTTCACAGTAGCCAAGCTAAATTGAAAGAATCACCCCAGGTACGCTGTATGCACTTGAAGACTTCTTTCCTCACACGTTTTAGAGCTGTAAGACTGTAATTTTACCTTAATTTTGCTTTTTCACCACTGCAAGTAATTCATAGGAAACTTCATGAGCTCCAATCACTACGTGGTTAGAAATTACTGGCTATATTCAAGATACACAGAATTTGAGCTAACTGCTTTAGAGAGCTTTAACTTCTGTAATGAACTGTTGTTATATCAGTGCACATTATCACTCACCTAAAAGTCTGCACCTGAATAGGCTCCTTCTGGTTTTTCCCACGCAACTGGTATATTTCTTTTGATGCTTTCTTTAGCATCTTTTCAGCTGCTTGCTCCTGGTGATGTTCAAATTTGGTCTGCCGTGTCTGAAAACGAGACAAAGAATAGAATGCTAATAATTATAACGTGAATAAACATAACAGAAAAATACTTAGGTTTACATGATGGATTGTTTCTAATCACCAGAGTAAAACCACACCACTATATTATCTGAAATAGCTGAACATTTAAGATCTACAAATGCAAAAGACTAATAGTACTATTTAATTTAATAGTGTTCTTCACAAAGATATGCATTAAATTAAAAAAATCTACTGCACATTGCTCTCTCAAGTAAGACCTCAAAATGAAGCTAGGCTTACCCTGCTTCTGATAACCAATAGCTGTTTGGTTTGTTGTAATGCTTCCTGCATTTACTTTCTTTCCCCAAGAAGAGCAAAAATACTTAAGGAACATTTCAAATACTTCTAAAAAGTGAAATATCAAATTAGCACAGTTTCTTTCAGTAATGAAACTGCTAAAGTTCAAGCCATAAAATATCTAAAAGAAAGTGACATTCTCCAGTAATTGTTTTCAAACACACAGCTGGGTAACAATCAAGGCAATCATTTCCATTGTGGTAACTTCAAGAACACAGAGGTAACATGAATTATTTGGATTTCAGTAAGAAGTGAATAAATAAATAAACAGGTTCTTTGCAGAAGTTCTTACAATCAAGAAATTTTGAAATGAAATGTTTCTAAACAAGTTGAGTGCATGAGTAACTTCATGTTAGCTTACCTGCCTCTCTGCTTCCTTCAACAAATTTCGGAATCGCTCATCCCGAAGGACCCAATGGGGCAGATCTGTCTGCCCCCTGAGCTGGGCATCTTCCAGACGCTGTCTCAGCTCCCTTAAGACACATATCTCCTCGTTCAGCTGTCTCTGTCTAGTTCTGGATGCCTGGAGATCCAGCTCCAGGTCTAATGATGTCCTTGCCATAAGCTCAGCCAAAGATGATCTGCAGGACTGCTGAGTTATTAGGATTCAAATACAATTCACAGTACATTATTCTCAACATGGTGCACTGGTATATTTTTAGGTACATAATGCATACATTTTATGTATGTACTTTACACAAAGCTTTTCCTGATGCAAAGATTTGGAGAGATTATTTATACCCCACAGTGAAACGTTCACTAGCCGTAATGTGTTTTTTTCTGTACAATATACAACTTTTTTCAATTAATGCTCTTTACTACATTCCTTTACAGTCTACCTTCAGCTTATAAATATTTAACTAATTTAAGTTTATAAACTAAACTCTTATATAATGAAAATAAGCAAAGGCATACAATATGAAATACCCATAACTGAATAACGATGCTAGAAAACAACACACTGAGCAACAGATTCACTTCAAAGGAATTTACTCGATATTAGTTTTAAAATACATTCTGAATCAAAATGGAAGGCACAGTCATCTACCTACATATACCAGCAAGAAATCAGTATCTGCTTACCAGGCTAAACTGTAAGCCATTTATCAACATCGTATTAACTTCCTACGTGCCCTTCTATCCCACTTGCTCTGCATGGTGGGTGGAGAAAGAACTTAAGCTATTAGAATCATAGAATGGCGTGGGTTGGAAGGGAACTTGAAGTCTACCCAGCCCCAACCCGTGCCATAGGCAGAGCTGTCCCCCACTAGATCAGGTTGCCCAGGGTCCCATCCAAACTGGCTTTGAGTGCCTCCAGGGACTGAGCATCCACAATCTCACCCCAAAACACACACACACACAAAAAACAACCCACAAACATTTTTCTTGTTTATAAGCTCCCTTAAAGTATAGGAAGGCCACAATGAAGTCTCGCTGGAGCCTTCTCAAGGCTGAATAAGTCTAGCTCCATCAGCCTTTCTTTATAGATGAGGAGGTCCAGCCTTTTGAGCATCCCTGTGGCTCTTCCCTGGACTTGCTCTAACAGCTCCTCATCCTTCCTATACTAGGGCCCTCAGGTCTGGATGCAGTACTTAAGATGGGGCCTTATGAGGACAGAGTGGAACAGGACATTCAGCTCTGACCCCTGCTGACGATTCCTCCTTTGATGCAGCCCAGGATACAATTGGCTTTTCAGGCTGCAAATGCACACTGTTGGCTCACATCAAGCTTTTCACCCAACGGAACTCCCAAGTCCTTCTCTGCAGTGCTGCTCTCAAGAAACCCTTTTGCCAGTTTGAACACAGTTTTGCCCCAACCCAAATGCAATACCTTGCACTTGGCCTTGTTAGAATTCACTGAATTCTCATGGGCCCACCTTTCAAGCCTGTCCAGATCTCCTTAGTTCCTGCAATTTCACACACTACTGTTGGGCCTCAAACACCACTGTTTGCTAGGCTGCATGGCAAGGGAGCAGGATGTTTTCCCATCATTCATACAGACTTCTGTGGGTCTGCATTCTGTATCATAAACTAGATTTTAGAAATTTAAGGAAGTTTATGTGTAAATCAATACAGATCTAGCGCCAGTTAAGCAAGGTTTTGTCTTTACCTTGTCTTTTCCTCAACAATCATTCACAATAACGTTTTACTTTCCTATGTCTACTTTTCAGATTAAAACAAAACAAACAACCAAAACAAACAGAAAGCAACCTTGAGCTACTGACTGCATTACATAAGTCTTGCATGTTACCTAAAAAGATCAGAACAAATATGCTTATGTGTAGAAGTACCACTGTTACATCAGCTTCAGTGAAAACCTATTTCCCAGCCATACCTGCTTATATCGAAGAGTGCGCCTCTCCAATGTATTCCGGACAAACGGTGATTTCCTTGGCAGAGTCGAGCTGTCACTGTCACTGCGATACAGCTGAGTAGAAAAGATATTGAATATAAAGCTTGCTAACATATGCATTCAGAAATCAGAACTCTTTTTTTCTTTTGAGTTTTATTACAAAACAAAAACGCTGAAATTGTGTAGTTTTAAGCAAAATTTTTTTTTCCATTTCAATCACATGTTTGCCTTTAGCTATTTATTAAAAAGAAATATATATAATAGAGCTCATATTGAAAATGTATAGTCCACAAACGCACTGTATGCAATATAAATTACAGGGCTAAACCAAAAGATTCATAGAATCATAGAACGGCCTGGGTTGAAAAGCATTACAATGATCATCCAGTTTCAACCCCCCTGCTATGTGCAGGGTCGCCAACCACCAGACCAGGCTGCCCAGAGCCTCATCCAGCCTGGCCTTGAATGCCTCCAGGGATGGGGCATCCACAGCCTCCTTGGGCAGCCTGTTCCAGTGTGTCACCACCCTCTGTGTGAAAAACTTCCTCCTCATATCTAACCTAAACCTCCCCTGCCTCAGTTTAAAACCATTTCTCTTCGTCCTGTCACGATCCACCCTTGCAAATAGCCATTCCCCCTCCTGTTTATATGCTCCCTTCAAATACTGGAAGGCCATTATGAGGTCTCCCAGGAGCCTTCTCTTTTCCAAGCTAAACAAGCCCAGTTCCCTCAACCTTTCCTCATAGGAGAGGTGCTCCAGCCCTCTGATTATATTAGTGTCCTCCTCTGGACCTGCTCTAAGAGCTCCACATCCTTCCTGTGCTGAGGGCCCCAGGCCTGGACGCAGTACTCCAGATGGGGCCTGATAAGAGCTGAGCAGAGGGGGACAATCACCTTCCTCTCCCTGCTGGTCACCACTTTATAATGCAGCCCAGAACACAGTTGGCCTTCCGGGCTGCAAGTGCACACTGCCAGTTCACGTCCAGCTTCTCAATTCTTGGCTTAAAAATTACAATGGCATTTTCAAACTCAAGCTCTTAGGAAAGCTACTTAGGAAAGACTGCAAATAAAGTCACGTGCATTCCACCAATATAGCAAAACCAATACTGATACAGCAATCTGCAATACTGAGAAACAACTCTGTAAAATGAACCACTAGCTCAGCATCACAGGTTGCCAGATAAAGGAGCTTAAGATTTAAGTTACGGTGGGTTCTTTAATTTTAGCAGAAATAAATTTCAGGTTTAAATTCTTACAGTGATCAGGAACCAAGGACCTTTTCCCCCCCCACCTCAATGTTTATAATCAATGAAACATCCATTAGCATCAAAAAATAGTATAAGTTTCTTGTAATTCAAATTTTAAGAAGAAATTATCACAAGCACACAAATACTCATGTGAAGGCGTCTCTTCCTGTCTTCTTTCTAGGCTTTACTCACTCTGCAAACATATTGACTTCGTGCTCCAGGTGAGAAGGTCTGGGAACGAACAATTGTGCTGCTGCGAACAAAAGCAGAACCCCGTGGCCTGCGGCTAGTTCTCTCTTTTGGAAGGATAGCAACTTCTTCAGGAAACAGATCCTCAGTATTAGTTTCTTTATCCACCTAAAATTACAATGAAAGAATTTTTAATTTGTTTTCTATTTCTTTTTCCCCTCTCCCTTTATTTCAACAACATCAAAAGTAAACAATTTGTCCTGTTAGCTAGGATAAAGTTTTAATGAGCCCTGAGAACAGAGAACGAAGCACCTTATTGTCAGCAGTCTTAAAATTAGGTCGTTCAAAATTGCAAGATTATTTTTCAGAAGCCTTACCTGGAACAGTAAAAATTATAATAAAAATTATAAGATGCAGTTATAATGTGAATCATAGTTGTGGAAGACAAAGACTGCATTCACTGTTAACAACTGGGCATTAACTGAGCTACCACCTGATCTCCCAGCCTTGACAGAAAGAGAACACTAAGCCACATTTCAAAAAGCAAGGTGACTCTGAAGCAAGTATCAACCTAAAAACTTCAGGAATTCAAACCAAGAAAATAAAAACAAAAAAACAACCTCAATAAAAGGGAACTAAAAGACTGCTGAAACAATGATACAAGAACACTAAGATATTTGAAAATACAGGAAAGTTTTAAAATTTTAAGCATCTTTCTTCCTTTTAAGAACTGTAAGTTCTCAGAGCACTGGAATTTAATCATCATCTTTTATGTTACAATTTCAAGACAATAAATCATAGAATCCTACAATCACAAAGTTGGAAAGGACCTACAAGATCATCTAGTCCAACCTTCCTCCCATTACCACTGCTATCATGAGCTACTAAACCATATCTTGTAGCTCCTCATCCAGACATCTCTTGAACACTGCCAGGGACGGCAACTCCACCACCTCCCCTGGGCAGGCCATTCCAGGGCCTGACCACCACTCTCTGAGAGAAGTTTTTCTTTATATCTAATCTAAATCTCCCCTGGCACAACACACTGATGCAAGTGCATATTTAAAACTAGATAGAGGTAGCATTAAAAATACTCCTGCCTTTTAACATAAAAGCTGTTCTACTCAGAAGTAACTAGCAAGAAAACAAAACAAAAACAAACAAAAAACCCACAAGCCCTGAAGAGGACACTTAAAGAACTCCAAAGGCACACCATTGTCATCAAGGCAGTGCTCACGCAGGACTGCTAGTATCATTTCTTTTCTCTCCAGATCAATTTGGACTTAGCAAGCAGCAGCGTGCAGTTCCCCTACTCAGTGCCTTCTCTCGTTACCTTTACTGGTGGAGGCTGGAGTTTTCCAGAGCTGTACTGGCCAGCTTGAGTTGCAAACATGTGTCCAGCTAATGAATCCCCGCAAAATGGCTCCGGATAAGGAGGGCTAGTCTGGGTGCAATTACTGCATCCACTGTCAACAGATTCTGCTTGCCAACTCCTGAAGTCAGAACACGACAAGGATTTTGTAGGCATTAAAAAACAAAACAACAACAACAACAAAGAACCAACCCACCCATCAAGTTATGGATAATAGTTGTACATTTCATTATCCTGCTCAGTTTATCAATTAAGAATATTTCTGTAGTAGAAATACAGAATACTTGTGTTTCTGTAGATGCACAGGTAAACAAATTCCATGACAAAAAAATCAGCTTCCATAGTTTTTTCCAAGTTTACATTCCAGTCTTTGTAACAGTCAAAGAAAACAGTAACAAAAAGAAAAGCACAGCTCAAAAAAGGAGTAATATCACTGATGAATTAGAGCAGTGTGGCATATCTGCTCTGCAAGCATTGCAATGCTTTTTTTTTTTTTTCATTTTCCCATGTCACTACACATATCTATATATATCTTTTTTAAAAAGTACAGTGCCATTGCCAAGTCATTGCAGTTGCCTCCCTAACAATGTTTCTGCTTGATTCAAAAGAAGTGTTTTCCCTCTCCCCAAATTCCAAGTCCTATAAACACAGCTAACTATTCAAATAACACTTTTTTCCTGCTTGTGCATCATCACACGATAGAAGAATTGTACACCCCTAGTTCTAACAGGGAGCAGATCTCAGAACAAGGATCTGCTGCTTCTCCTGCTGTATTTCAGATCATCATTGTAGTGCAAATATTATTCAGCTGTTAGATTAGGTATTTTAACTACTATTTGTACCTTTCTGATATGGCTTCTGCTTGGTCTTCCTTTCTCTCCATCTCCAGGATTTCCTCTTCAGTGTACTCCAGTTTCACTCTTTCTTCTGCCAGCTCTCTTTCAACTGCTTCCAGTTGGGCAGTCGTCCTAGCTAACAGGGCTGTCACTGCATCCTGGAAGGTAAACTAGACTTCAGACAAACCTGTTTGTACAAACTCCTGTATTTAATGCATATTATCCAGAGAAAACAATAGAAAAACACAATCACTGTATATTCCTACTAAAAAAAAAAAAAAAAGCTGAAAATGATCAAGAATTAAAGCAATTTCTCATGCAAACTGGGCCAAAAGTAAACACTTTATCGTTGCACTGAGCAGTAGGTCACAAGCTAAGAAGTTGAGTTAAAGCCTTTTATAGAAAGTTAAAGCCATAGACTGGGAGACTTTATCTCACTATGAAGCACCACCCAGTGAGTTAGATCCAAGTCCATCTCTGGAGGTCACCTAATCTGACACCCTGCTCAAAGGAAGAAGAGCTTTAGAGTCACACCAGGTTGCTCAGTGCCAAAATGCTGAAAAATCTCCATGGATGGAAACTGCACTACCTTTCCTGGCAGCCTCTTCCAGGGCAGTGGCAGATTTTTTTAATGAGTTTTAGTGAGTTGAACTGGAGGTATGCATACAAAAACATGGTATATTTCAAGATCATGTTCAGACATGACCCAGCTTTTAATTATTCTTTTAAAATCCAGGTCTCGCCACAAGAACTAATTAACGTATCCGTTTCTCTGCACCTTGCAAACAAACTGTATTAGAGATATGATCACAAGCAACCACTCATCAGGTCAAATGAAGTTAAACAAACAATTTTTTCAGAGCCATACTGTTTTAACTGTGGTTACATTTCCAGAAGACCGGGGAATACTTTCTTCACACTGGTGTTTGTTCTTTGGTCTCAGGGGATCCGAGCCAGTGAAGATTTGAACAGAATACCAGTGAAGCTGCATCTCACTGGAGCTCTCCAAATCACTCAGGTTTATCTGAGCAATGCCCTGTAAGCAATAAAAAGCATTCATCACAATAAGATAAACGTACACAGCAGGATAGATGCCTTCTCATTTCACGAGCACTCCATTTATGATGGTAAAAAAAAAAAGCTTTATCAATGATAAGAGTCTTTTAATAAGAGACAGTTTTGTTCTGTTTTATTATGATGTCTAAGATGCTGAATTTCTTGCCTCCTCTTACTGTCAAGAAAGGTTCAGAGTGGATATTTTTTAAAATTGAAAAATAGAATTACTACAGTTGATGTAGCTAGGACCGTAACAGTCTTTAACACTTTGAAAGCCCAGCTTTGCACATCTGATTTCTGTAGTTGCTTTAATCAGTATTAATAAAACGACGTTACTTTAAGTTGATCCATTTTGTTTTAATAGAATTATATTCTGAGAGAACTTTCTAGACATCAAAAGCACCCTCTGAAAGAGAAAAAGCTATCATGTAAAAAATCTTTTTTTCCTGACTATTTATACCACAAGTTAGTCAGGTGGACCATAATCTCGTTTTTCCACTTTCAAAGTCATCCTCGTATCTCCCAAATTCAGATGAAAGAAGGTTTAATGAAAGCTTTCCACTAAAAGAATTCCCAACTTCAAAGTAAGCCTACTTAATCAAGTAGTGTTCACATAAGAAATTTCTGAGCCATGTTGACCTTCTGCTCTGTTTGAGCAAGTGTAGAAAGGACAACAGAAAAATGGAGTCTGTGAGATTAACAAAAAAATGGCATATTGGGACACAGTTTATTATTAAGAATGTAGTTTTACGTCATTTGTTATTGGGTGCTACAAACAGAAATACCATTTCCTTACTATATAAAACAGAGATCTCCTCTAAATAGTTAGCTGCCCTGACAGAGTGTGAAAGAAACATCTACCACATACTCACACTTTGACACCAAAGTTAGAGAATGTTTAAGAGATGCTAGGTTTGTTTTGGGAGGTAGAAGGGAAAGCTGTTTTCCTCTGTCATAAATGTTGGAAAAGACGTACTTGGACTTTTAATGTGACTGACGCTGCCCTACATGCTATATTTATTCATCAGCTAAAAAGGCACACCAAAGAAGCATTTAATTTAATGTGGTGTTGAAAAATAGGACAGATATTAAAAAAAAAAAAAAAAAAAAAAAAAAAAAAAAAAAAGGAGAGAGAAAATGTAGAACAATAAATCACAGTCACAAAGAATTCAAATAAATTAAGACAGAGAATAACTGGTTGGTGAGGCCCATAGAAAATCAGAAACAGTAAAGTTAGGGTTGCAAAAAAGGCAATCACATTTCTTTGAAGTTTTAGCACGAGCAATATATGCTAATCATGGAAAATAACAACTCCCTTATCTCAACACTGATGAGGACACCAGGGGAGCAGCAAGCCAATTTAAGGAATCGGTCTTATAAGGCTACAGAAAACCAGGTGTGGAAAGCTGTAGAATCTTCCATCAAGACAGAGCATAAGGGAGATGAAGGAATTGGATGACACAGAAATTCAGTAGATTTACTTCTCTAAGTGAAGTTCAGAACTATTTGCCAGAACGTTTCTTGAATTTTTTTCTTCCCTGTTACATACAAATATTTGTTTGACTCATGAAAAACTCCAGTCTGGGACAGACAACCCTGGATATGAATGTACAGACTACGGGACAAGAGGTTGGAGAGCAGCCCCACAGAAAAGGATCTGGCAGTTCCAGTTGACAGTAAGTTGAATGTGAGCCAGCAGTGTGCCCCTGCAGCCCAAAGGGCCAACCATACCCTGGGGTGCACCAGGCCCAGCATTGCTGGGTGAGGGCAAGGATGGCCCCACTCCATTCTGTGCTGTGCAACCTCACCTAGAAAAAATTGGCATCTCAGGTGAAAGAGATTTTGAAAGACAGTTGTAGAGGTCATCACTGCAGTTTCAAAGTGATGATTTCTCAAGCATATAGTTGTTTTTCAACTTAAAAGCAAGAAGGGCAACACTCAGACTACAAACGCAGCTATCCGAAGAAATCGTGACGCTGCTTCTCCCTTTCTGAGTTGTTTTGTTAGCTTATCCTAAAATATGTTACCAGACAAAGATGTTTCTGACAAAACTACACTGACACTATGAAAGAAAGAAACAAATCCTATTAGAATAATTTTTGGCTAGTTCAGTCAAAGCAGTTGGAATGAAAGCATCTTAAATTTAGATGCTCTTGTGTCAGTATAAAATTGCTTTGCTCTGAAATGGCTACTTAGCTTAGAGGAACACTGCACAACAGTATAAAGCATTTCCTATCAATATATCCAGCCCATTCTTGACATGCTTTCTCTTTAATTAGGTTGCAGTAGCAACAACAACAAAACATCCTGCTGTGGACAAGACCTTGGATCTTTTCAACATTGTCAACATGAAGACCAGTGTTTATCTAAGACTCCTCTAGATCAGGCATGTCCAACACACAGCCTGTGGGCCGCATGCCACCCACTACAAATGGCTATGGCTCTTCACCACGAATTGGCCCAATGTGGGCATGCACACATTGCTCAGCAGCAACCAAACCATCACTGCCTTATTAACACTGTGTCAACTAAAACCAGGGCACTGGGAGGGCAGTGCTCAAACGATGGCAAATAATTTTATGCATTTTGATACACTGGCTAAACAAAGATGTTGGTGGTCTGGAAGCAGAGGCTGAACCTTCCCACCAATATCCCACTACATGTTGTTGCCGTGTGACAGATGGGAGCAGAGGGGCAGACTGACAAAATGGTATTTGATGTGGAAGTGCAGATGAAGCAAAGGTGTGTCACTGAATTCCTCCATGAGGAAGAGATGTCACCTCCTGACATTCATCAACACTTGCTGAGGGGTGGGTGGTGCGTTTCAGCAGCGGGTCACCTCTGCTAGTGCTTATTTTTATAAGCACAGCATGGAAGCTCATATTCACTGCTGCTGAAAATGCATAGTTCATGATGATGACTGTGTTAGAAACAGTATTTTGTAGCTGAAAATTAGTTCTATCAAATAGTGCCATCATGCTGTTTGTATCTGTTGTGGTTTACATGGAAATAAATAAGAGGCACTACTTTTGAAGCAAGTTATGTATATGCAGCTCAAGACATCACTCAGCTAGGCTCAGGCAAGACAGAGGGCTGGACACCCATGATCTAGGTTTTCAAGGCAGTCTAACAAACACACATTCTTGACCATATGTGCTCAAACAATCACCTCTTACCCACTGTTTAACCAAACACTGTGCTACTTGTATCTCTTAACTATGTCCAGAGGCTTAAAAAAAAAATTGATACATTCAAATCCCTCAGTGAAATTACAGACCACTAACTTTGAAACATTCAATGAAGATTCATTTGAGCGTATTTACACCTGAAAATAATTAAATTAACTTTTAACATATCTAATGTTAACACAGCTAACAGATGTAAGCTATTTAAACAATGTTATACTTCTTTGAATTCACCTACATTAGATGCCTCCATCAGTTTAATGCTAAGTAAAACAAACCAGTTTGCCTGGATCACTGTTACCCTGCAGCAAAGATTGATGTAATGCCTATTACACAGTGACAATTGGTTTGTATTTGTTATATTTTTATTAGGAAGCTGCTTTACACATACTGATTAATTGTGCATGCATTACAGTGCCATGCAGAAAGATAAGTCTTCAGCACAGTATAGTTTGAAAGCATTCAGGTAATGTCTCTGGGAAAAAAAGTTTACAGCATGTTCTTCTTGCACCCATATTTAGCAACTGCAGATTTCTCAGCTTTCCCCAAAGCACACATTTATAGGAAATGTATTAAATTAAAAAATGAAATAAGACCAACACCTCCTAATCTACTAAATCCCATAGCAGTTAATACAGGTAATATATCAATTTTAAGTACGATTCTGCAATGTAACAGATATATTAATAATTTTATTAATAAACAGTACTTCCAAAACTGCTTAAAATACTCCAATTCTAAGCCACAAGTACTGCTAGTGCTAATTACTAAGTACTGCTAACTACTTCCAAACCTTTATGTAGTATAGAAGGTACATTCTTTGAGAGGTTGTCTTGTATTTTTTTTTATAACACTAACTACCATAACTATGCATATGAACAAAGAGCCACAATTACTCCCAACCTAAAACTTCACAAAATATAAAGTCTTCACACTTTGACTGTAACTTTAGTTTCCCATATCACAAGACTTTTAAGAAAATAGACCACTTACCAATAATTCCTCTTGTTGCTGATGGTCAACTGAGCAAATGTACAGCTGAAGTGATTTCAGTTTGAAAACACTTGAATGCACAGGGATGCGGAAAACTTCATTAAATATTAGCGGAGTTTGGAATTCCAAGGCTCTGGAGCAGTAAGTGGTTGGTGTGCCTGACTCGAGTGGTGGCAAATAAACTCTCACATGACTAGGAAGAGCAAAATAGACAAATCACACAATTCAGATAAAGAAAGCTGTTTTCAGCTGTTTTGCATTTCTGAAAATGAAGCTACGCAAAAACACCTGTGTAACTTCTATATTAAGAACCTGCTTTGGGATCTCTGTTACAGGGATTTATTTTGCATTCTTAGCAGAAAAAGAGCAAAGCTCATTTGGAAAATGTATCTTTCTCTAAAACCAACTTTATTCTAACTTGGTGATTAAGCACAGTCACCAAGTACCACTTGAGATGTCCTGAGATGTCTAAGGCATCTACCTGGGGCTAGCAAACATGACATAGGATGTATGGGAGAGCTACAGCTTTCCTGACAAGCAGCAGCTGGAGGCCAGATGCTAAGCCAGGAGGTTTCAAGGGGAAACATGTATCTATGTTTAAACTACTGAATTGCTGCTTTATTTCTTGTCTCCATCCACTACACATACCTCTCCTCCTTCCTCACCCAAGAAATTCAGCACAAAACGGCAGCACAGAAAACCTACGTTACCATTTGCAACCTTGCTTGTAAAAAGCAAGTTTACATATTTGATACCATCTCATTTTAGGCTCCATACCAAAATCAAGGTCTGCAACCATTTCAATCTGACAGAAGGCAACACGCTACTTAACTGCTTGTGTTCTCCTCGTTCTGACCACCTGTCAAGCCCTTGCAATACCACATTTCATGCCATACCTTCTCTTGTGCCAGTAAAAAGGTTCATGCAACTACACTGTGAACCAGATTAGAAACCTCACCTGGGTTTACAAAGTAGCCAAAGTAGATGGAAAAAAAGGCTTGCAGATTAAAAAGAAAATCCAGCTCAGAGGTTCGCTCCCATTGACTACATCACTGCATGAACTCTTATGTCAAAAGCAGAGGGGGTGACAATGGCAGACACACAAATGTTAGAGGACAATTGATACAACTCACTGTGGTGGAACCGCACAGCTGGAGAGTGGGGCACCAGTTAAGATAAACTGGCTCATGTCACAAAAAGGAAGTGATCCAATTCCTCTGCTCACCACTGGCAGCCGGTAACCTCCCACGTCTGCCCTCAAGCAATTCAGTTTCAGTGAATATGAAGATGCATGGAGGAGCTCATTCAAGTGACTAAGAAGTTTCTGGTCTTGCCAAGATCAACTTTTCTTTCTTTTCTTTTTTTTTTCATTAGTCAAATCAATAGATTTCTCCTGCAGACATGCAGTTTCTCAATTCTAGCCCAACTGGGTAACTGACAAGGCTGGGGAACAGAGCTCTATTTTTAGTGCCACTTAAATGCCTGACTGCCTTGATTTTGACAATGTCCAACAAACCCCCTGGAATCATTCATTTCCTTGTTGACTATATTTGATTTTCTTCAGATGACATTCATTTCTTTTTTTAATCATGAGGCAACGTGGTTGAGTACTACTCAATATTCACACTTCTCCCCTTCAGCATGCCCTAGTGCCAATATTGAAAACAAACAACTGCCACTAATGCACTGACCTAAGTGAAAAATTTCCACTAGAAGCCTGCAGCATTTGCAAAGTCAAGCTTTCTGAACAAAAATCAACTCAGTGAGACAGATGTCCATGACAGTACTCCCAATTAATGACCTATTTTACAACAGAATAATATCATCACAACTCCATTTTCCACAGTTTTAAAGCAACTTCACCCAGAAATAAAGACCAACAATTTTCATATTTCTTTAAAATCTATTAAGACACATCACTAGATAGGTCTGTGTTTTATGGCAACATTCTTGCTATTTTAAAAATGCTTATTAAAATAAACTAACTAATGTTCTTTGTGGTATGGAATTTGAAGCAGTAATACATGCAGCCAGAAGTTAAAAAAAAATTTGTACTGATTCTCAGCTGACATTTGTGTTAAAATTATTTTCAGAAGATGTTTCATAGATATTCCAGGAATATTGTCGTGGCTACAAAAACCCGTAGAAGTCTTATATTTTATATTTACTTAATTATTTATCTACTATTTTTTTCCAGATAAAAAGCAAGATCTCTCTATTACTAATTATTATAGATGTTACCTTAGGAATTTAAGAAAATTACATTAAGCTTATCCTGAGATATATCACAAATAGACTGTAGATAAGTTCTATAGGAAATAATATTTCTAGAATACTACAAATATAATAGATTTTTTTTTTTTGTACAGAAGTCATAAGGCAATAGAATGACTTGTTTTCTGAACTATCTTCTTTGTACATAATAAATACATTAAAGCATATGTCATTGGAAACTCTATTTGCTACCTCACCATTAAGGCAAAGGTTCCATAAAAAGGATGCTTTGTGTCCATCAAATTATCCCTTTCCCCATGTAAACTAAGATATGCCGTAACGGCTTAATTTTGCATGAAAGCAAACAAATTGTAGCACTCAAGATTATAGCACAAAAGAAGCAACTTTTGGTAAAATGTAAGCTTACATTTTGCAGTTTTCCTTAACAACTAGACTAGTAAAATTCTTCAGCTGTAGTACATGGACTAAGAGACATTCGCTTCCACTGTCATGCCTGGAAAATAAATTTCCTATGTTAGTCATCATCAATATGTTCCTTAAGAAATATAGATGAAAAAGACTAAGAGGACTTTAAGAACACAAAAATACTTTTTGCAGTTAAATGAATCACTTACAAAATCAGCATGAATCCAAAGCATTTAAGGATATGACATTCAGAACCATAAAAGCACTAACTACATTAACAAACTTACCAGAACAAAGGGAATTTAGCATTATTCAGGTGAACAAGAACACTACCTAGAGTGAGTCTTGACAGTGAACAGATTTTATAAAATGTTCCTTGTATTAAATGTTTCCACCACAATCACGTGTGTGAGTGATGTAATATTTATGTTAGACAACTCGCTCTGCATTATTTTCATGGATTAACAGAAGTGCAAAAAAAATTCTTATCTTCTGCAACAGCATGAGCTTTGAGACAGAACTATCACAGCTGCTTGAAATCTGAAAATTCCAGGCCCTGGGAACTGAGGGGTAGAGAGAATTCTGGAAGGCATCCCACCTTGCACTGCAATAATCTGCCCTCCCCCACATTACTTGCACAATTAACAATAGCTTGACCTATGTACAGTTCTTCAGAGGAGCATTGAGGAACCTTATTTGTATTTGTCTCTTCAGATGTGATTTTCCTAAGGTAATCATCTTTTATTTCACACAAAAAAAATCAGATCTTACACAGCGAGACATATCCCTACATCAACGCTCACACTAATAGCCTGGACAGTGAAAATATTAATTACTGAAAGAAGTAACTAAAGCCCCTTCATTAGCCAGCATTGAAAGGACACCAAATGAACAGTGGCTGCCCCAGCAGAAAGTGGCATGCTGACTATTGCATCCAACTACCTTGGCTTTCAGCTCAAAAACAATATTAACACCACTTACAGAAATCCAACATGTATTTGTGGTTCTTCATTACTGGCAATATCACCATAAACAGGCTCTTCCATATCTTCATTCCTGCACAAGCAGAAAGTACTGTAAACTACATACTGATCTACGATGTTAAAGCACAATGAAATGAACATTTATTTCATGATTTGAGGATAAATGCAACTGTTCAGTAATATAGGGAAAGATTGAGATATATTTAAGAGAAACAAAAGCAGTAATTCATATTTTAAAAAGTTTTTAGAATAATTCTTAAGGCTAGTTTTGTATTTGTCCTGTTTTCTATTACTCTTCAGAATCATCAGAACCTTATCTTCTTCCACTAACTGTTTACTGTGTTACAACAATTGTATAAAATGTGTTTACCCTCCTCCAGTCACTTGATCAATCTGCACATTTAGCCTTGCAGCAATTCATATACCCTTTTTCCCTTTATCACAGGCAGATGTACACTTTTAATTATGTCTTATGAACTTGAAGTACTAACCCATATCATTTTATTTTGTTACAGGTGGTTGAAATAAAATCACAACTTTAAAACTAACATATTTTAGGTCAGAAGTATTGAATGTTAAAATGTTAGAGACGATCAAGTGAAAGGGACTTAGCAACCATGAAGATGACAGTAGAACCATACATAAAAACCTTCATCAACCTAACAGATACAACTTAATCACCAATTTTGAAAGCATGTTCAGAAATTTACTATAAATTCTTTCAGACCGTGTGGCAGAACAGGAATATTTCCAGCTTACTACACATTTTTACACCTGACCTTTTGCTTAAAGCTTCAAACACGCCACTGTCACTAGCCAGTGAATGATCTGAGAGACATGCTGAAACTCGCCTGGCTCTCCTCTCTGATCTTCGACCGCTGTCTCCTCGCAGAGTTACAGCTATCATGGAGAAAAAAGAGGAGACAACATCAGCTCAAGGCAATCTCTTTAAAGATTAAGCTAGAAGCAGTATATGAGTGGCAAACAGTACAACTAGCAGCAAAACGCTTGGTACAAATGCAGCTCATTGTTTTGTCATCTATCCTTAAAAACCTCCAGTACAATGGACCAGATTTTCTGTGAAAGAATAAAGGCTGATTTCTCTGTGTCATGACTAAATATAAGCCAATCTCATTTTATTACAGTATTTTTCCAGAGGAAAAATCACTCCTAAAGGTTTACGTTAATTCAGTACACACACATGATATCCTAAACTTCTAAGACTTACCTACTGATTATTCAGTAGTTTGAAAATAAACAGAGACTAATTCTTTTAAGAAGTTATCAGACAACACACAGTGAGGTTTTGTTCTCACGTGTTTCCATGTATAAATTTTCAAAGCACGTTGCTTATATCGTCTCATATCAGCAACTTTTATTTACAGTCTGAGAGGTGTTATCCAAAAGAAAAAACAGCACTTTCCATCTCACTGACACCAGTTCTTTTTCAAATTCTTGGTGAATGAATTTGAAAACTGACAGAGGGAAGAAAAAGTCAACCCTCCCTTCCCCTCTAAATCACCAGCACCATCACAAATAGCAATTCAATCACTTTCATGAGCTAAGCTTATCAAGAAAAATGGCATTACACACCACATTTTACAAATACAAGTAGAAATAGAATGTAGAAATCCTTTAAGGTATGTGCACAAGTGATAATGCTCAAGAATTATATAGATAAGGTTTCAAGACTTGAAAGGCAACTTGAGCTTTTCTTCTTTCACATCCTAGAGAGAATCATTACATGGACTTATGGAACTGCAGTATCTTTTGCCAACTTCTTCCCCCTTTTCCTTCGGATCAATGCTTGCTCTCAAAGCAGAAAAGCAATGGCAAAGAGATGCCACTTTAGAAAAGGGGAAAGTATCATACTCCTACCCAGGCTCATGAAATTAAATGTCTTGGAAGTGCTTTAGGTTTCAGCAGACGTTACTGGAGTGATAGTAGCACAGCACACATCACAGGGAGGCAAGCAGCAGCTGCTTGTTTCCAGCTTACTACCACTAAGGCTGAAACATGTCTTACTCAAACAATTTAATTACCTCTGTTAAGATATTATCTTTAGACATCACCAATAAAACACAGCCTCCTGAACAGCAAGTTCCCTTCAGCACAGCGTCAGCAAGTAACTAGAGCTTCACTTGCAAAGCCCCGCTGAAGGGTGGAATGGACATCAAGCCCCTGCTCTGAGTGAGCAAGCTTTTTGCATCCTGTGCCAGACCCATGCAGAAGACACCAGACAGGCCTTGAAGCTTGACAAAAAGCCCCTCAAATCAACACCTGTGCTGCTGCTGTCAACAGAAATGTCTGGCTTTGTCCCACTGCAGGACTGGCAGACAAGACGCACTGAGTACTGCCATCCTGCACCAACTTGAGATGTCATCTTTTTGTCAGATAACCAACAGCACAAAACCAGAAGAGATGTTCATAAATATCACAGGCTTCCGTTTGAAGCTAGGATTCTTATATGTCTGCAGAACCAACTATCTGTGCTTTTGGATCAGGGGCCCTATGGACCTCCCCTCCAAATTCAGTGAACAACTTAGCCATCATCTTCAGTTATGCAGGACATCTATTTGCTGGCAAGAACATTCCATTCTGCATTTGTTTCTGTACCTGGAGAAAGAACTACCCTTTTTCTTCCTAATTACAGCATCCCATCTTATTGCCCAGTACATGTCATTTTGCCATACAGCTCATTTCATCTTCACTGCAAATGAGAGCCAACCTCCACCTGACTTGGAAAAAAAAAAGAAAAAAAAAAAAGCCAGAAAACTGTGTTTGAACTACAATCTCCTCCTACCATTTGTACAAAGTGGAGGATTTCATTTCAATTTGTTTTTTATTTTACTTTTTTCAATCTTTTCATTTGGTGAGACAACGTCTGTAACTGTTGTCACTGATAAGCAAAAGGAAAACTAGAACTTTGTAAGGGGATTTATGGATACAGAAGAGTTTCTCAACACTTTTGTATCACTGGAAAATGACTGACCCTCAGAAAAAAAAGTGCAATTTTATACCAATGCTCATCTACACATTGTGTATTAATTTCAAAAAATTACACAATGTTTACTACGTTTTCATAAGAAAGTATCTGGCTCACCCTGTTATGTGAACGCTGTATAGATGTAGGAGATGAAAGAGGAGGTTGGACCTCACGAGCTCTCTACCTTGGAGGTTTCATGTTCCTAATCTGTCTGAAGGAAAAACTGTTGTCAAGCACCGACACACTGTCATGAAAAACTGATGTGTTGCAATACTTGTAACTTAACAATGATTGCCCACCGCCTTGCAGGCCAAGGAAGCATTTGATCATATCTGGACAATCTCACAAATTTGGTTGAGATGCAAATGTCAGAACGCACACTCGACTAGAAAAATGAATCAGTAAGAAAAACTCATCAAGAAAGAAACATCAGATTTTGATTTAAACAGAACCAGGTGTACCTGGTTTCAATCCAGGAAGCTAAAGGACTGTTTAAAAATACAGTTTCTAAAATACATAATTGCCTTTACTGTCCTATGTCAAGAAAATCAGTGAGCAAAATAGATATGAATTGGAATTTCCTAGCAGGCGCCAAAGCTTGTCAAAGACTGGCCTGATTAAAAGAATATTCTCAGCTGCCACAAGCTTAAAACGTGAACTTGAAAGAAAATTTTGGTGTTGAATATGTGTTAGTGTTTAGTAGTTCATTAGCAAAAACCATACATTTAAAGCATATTTCACAGGCACACGAAACTACACGTACTGCATGTCAGCTCAAAACGCGCTCATAACAGAATCAAACACTGTCATAAAACCTAAAACAGACACAAACAGACTCTACCTACCATGATGCTGTCAGGCATTACAATGATGTAATAAAGCTGAAGCTTGCAGAAAACACTGTTCCGGTATTTAACCACAGCCATGAACATATTGCTTAATTGACATAGCCAAAATTTAAGTATGCCATAATATGCCACAATTAAACAGATACAAGATTATATCAGACAGCATTATGTCAAAACCAAATGTTAAAAAAATCTCCTTTTTCCTTCACATGCAACTCATACAAAAACACTTCACACACAAAATCACACTGGGAATTACAAGCAAAAACAGCACGATTAGTAATTTTATGTTCACTTACAGTGCATTTTTCTGTTGTGCCGCATGAGAAACGAGACAAAATGAAAAGCACACAGTGATCAATCATCTTTTAGGTCTACGAGGAGGTCAGTATTTTGCAAACTAGATTACTTAGGCATTGAAGGAAATTTAACACTCAAAAAACTATTTTAGGACAGAGAAGATACAGAAGATCTTTAAAGACCTGTGTTAGCACTTTTCCTCCCCCCAGCTTTACAAATACAACGTATATGCCCCCAGAAGAGATACAGAAAAAGAAAACAGCAAATAAGCAAAAGAGCATTAAAAATTCAGTTCCTGGAGAACTCCTGAGCATGCTTTAGTACTGCTTCAAAACAGAGTATTCACAATGGTTATCCCTCTGTTACAATGGTTATCCCAGAGTGTTATCCCTCTAGAACTTTGTAATTTGGGAAATCATGCCATATTTTGTTTGATAGAAGAACTGGTGAAAAATTTGTCTGATTAATACTTGTAGGTTTTCCAGAGGAGCATTACATTGCTAGACCATCAGATGGCAGCAGCAAAGCATACAGCACAGTAGTTTAGTAAAAACAAACAACCCTCAACATCTGGGGGATCCCAAACTGTCCTGTATGAGGTTGATGCTCCATCAGATTCTTCAAGAATACTCTACTGAACTTAATAGATTTAAAAATTTTCAACTGATAGATGGAGACAACTGCATTACAACAGCAAACCCACCAACTAGGGAATGCCAAGCTCGAAGCAGTCATGACTCCAGCCAAGTACCAGAAAGGTTAAACTTGTTTTTCTTTCCCAGGCAATTGTTTCAAAAATCAAATACTTAAAAAAAGAAAATATCCATCAAGACAAACGGATTGCCTTCTAATCATACATTCAAAAAGGAACAGAAAGCACTAGGTTAAACACAGAGAAAAGTCATAAACCCTGGACTAGGAGCTGGACCCAGACACCACAGCAGTGACAGCGGCATCACAGACATGTTCTGCCAGAAGCCTTCAGAAAGAAAAACGAAAAATGTGTAAAAACATTACAGAGAAGGGAGAAAAGGAAAACCGAAGCAGGATGTGACCCTCATCCTATTGCTCCCTAAGCCCTCAGACCAGGCCTTCATTTCTAGGAAATACATATGAGCTATAAATGAACTACTAACATAGCTTTACTTACCACAGTGGGTGAAGACATGCTGTGGTCTGATCTGAGGTTTAAAGAAAGCCTCAGGAAACTTCTCCATGACACTAATTTAAGCACAGACTTACATGTTGGTCTCTAGAATTCTGTTTATTTTGGTCAGAACACTGCAATATGGGCATGAGACATGTTAATGTCTAGTAAACAAATTCTGTTAGCAGTACCTTCTGGCAGCTCAAGCTGCATTAAGGAAAGTAAGTCTACGTTCAATTCTATTTGAACAACGCAGGCTTGTCAGCACAGTAATGGCCTTTTTCTTCATGAAAAATAGAAAGTTGAAATCTTTTCCTTAGAGACTGTTGGTGCTCCTTTTCACTGTCTCCTGACAAACAAGATCTAATGGGATAACAGATTCTCTGCTTCTATTTCATAGTAGCCTTTATGTTCTAAGTCCTGAACGTAGTGCTCTACATATTAGAATGAGCTGTGAATTATAATCTTTAAAATATTCTCTAGAAGCCCTCCTCTACTGCAATGATTTTATTAGAAATGTAGCATGTTAAAACACAGAAATATCATAAGGAAAGAAATTTTTAACAGCAGTTCTTCAATTGATTAAAACTGGAAAAGAAATTAACTGTTTCCTTACTTTTTTAAGGTTTGTTTCACTTTTTGATCTCTCCAACTCACTTTTCTATTGCACTCTCATCTACAGCACCTCAGAAGCTTCCAACAACACAAGCTGAAGAAAGTCCATTGACTTCACATTCAAGCAGGAAAAGACAACCCTAACAGTATGTGCCATGGTAACTGAGACTGTTCTGTGATTGCGGAGCTCATGCTCTGAGACAACAACAAAAAATCACTCAAGTGGATGCTCAGCTCCTCACACTTCCCACCTGCTGAAGCAGTGAACTCAACTCCTGAGCACAGCGTATCATGCATTCAGCACCACCCTGCTGCTGTGGCTCCCATCCCATTGCACTGCACACAGACATAGGAACCTGATACTGGAGTGGGCATGAATTCAGCACGGAGCCAGCCAACCTTCAAACGCTATCACAGCAGCAATCACCTCGTGCACCCCCTCCTAAGTTTTTTTTTGCTTGTTTGTTTAAAAATATGAAACAAAGCAACCAACAATTTCCTCTGGGTTTGTGTTGCTGGAAATTATCAGCCTAATGGCAACACTGGCAGAAATTGGGATGTAATTAAGCCATGTGTGATTTTACTAATTCCTCATGCAAGACCAAAATATGTGTACCTTCATGTGCTCCACTCCAACAAAAGTCTATATTCCTTTCCCTTCCTTCCACCCAAACTATCACAAAATTTCCTCATTCTTTCATCTCTGCCCTAAAACAAAAGGTTTTTTTGTTTTGTTTCGATTTGGTTTAGGGGGAGAATAGGGAGGGAAGTCCTCTCATTTTCTTTCTAAACACCTAACATCCACCATGCAATTTTTATCTGGGTGAACTTAAACAGAGCAACAATCTCCATTGCGCCAGTATGATGAGGGTTGTGTGCCTCACGTGACAAAACAATCAAGTCCAAAAACTTACCTCCACTAGGTTGGACAGCAGTCAGCTGTGGGCCCATTTCTCGCACCCCTTCACTGTCGACAGGGTAAGAGGACATCTGAGATGAACTTGTTCCTTGTGCATCATCGTCACCCAACGCTGTGGTCTGAGCTCTGAGCATTTCCAGAGCTCCCATGCCTGCAATCTCCTCAAAGCCTTCAGACATCTGAGCCAAGGGAGAATCTCGAGATGCAGAGAGAAACGGGGTGTCCAGAGGTGAGCTTGGAGGGGACAGCGATGACAGTGAGGACCGTGATGACAGGGATGCCAGGGACTGAGGGGTATCCAGAGACCTCCGTTGCTTATTGAAATTTGAATGTCCAATGGGATCAGCGTACGGCACGTCCTTTGTCAGAGACTCAAAGGGAATGATGTCAAAGCGCAAATGCTGCCCGTAGTCTGTAACGCTGTCTGACTTGTCATACTGAGGAAGGCCATAGATGTCCGTAAAGCTGACTGAGCTGAGGGAGCCTCTGCTGGATGCCAGGGAACCTCGGCTGGAGGCCAGGGAACCCCTGCTGCTGCCAGATGACATTGTGAGGGTGCTAGCCGACAGACTACACCAGGCAAAGGAAAAGGAAACAAAAAAATGCCTTCAAAATATAATCAGAAGCACCGGCACAGACATAAATACATCAGACCATCTAGTATAAGCAATTTTATATGCATTCAGGACATGACACAGGGAGATGATCTGGCTGTTTAGGGTCTAGCTTGTGTTTCTTGTCCTGGTCTCAAGCACAGACATGACTGGAAAAGCACGAGTGACAGTCAAATCAGGCCAGAGTACAACAGGACAGGTCTACTCCTTCCTCTAAATTGTAAGTAGCCCTAATTTGGCAAAGACGACATAATAGGAAGGCTTGAATAAGTGGACTCAGCATAAAGCCAGGAATGGTAGATTACTTTGATCCAGCCAGAATTGGTGTTAATGATGAATCATAAATGTATCAGGGAGAAGAAGCAAAATGGATTTGGAAAGGCCTAACAAAGTGCTGCATAAGCCTCAACATCACAGGTTATTCCAGTGCAAAATGAAAACAACTTTAGTATGAATCCTGTTTCAGTTCCTTCTATCGTTCCCAGATGGCTACAGAGAGAACAGTGTACGTGACGGACAGAGATGAAGTAAGACACAGCAGGAACTGAGCGTTTGATGTTGGCATGGTGTTGAGCTGAGGAATCCCTGAGAGCTGCACCGAAGAAGGCAGCTGTGAGCGTGAATATGCAAAACATTCTGGGCTTCTGTGTGGGTCTTAGCACGTTCTCATATTTAAATGGCAAAATTCTGTCATCTCACCAGGGATCACCTCTTTTAGAGAAGGTATCAGGATATTAAACTTCACAGAATTTAGAAGAATGTTATTTTCACATAAAGTAAACCTGACAATTTTACTATAGGCTCCTTTTTGTAAAAGAACAAAAGCCAGCATACAGAATTCCCAGATATATGTAGTAATCTATCCCAAACAACCATTACTAATGCTATTTACAAAACTTCATCGAAATCACCACATTCCGCAGATCAATCTGAATAAATTCAGTAAAAATTTCATTTACCCAACATATACACACAGGAAGTTTTAGAAGGTAAACTTCCATTACCATTATTCTCTGCTGCAGTTAAACTTCAAAGCCTACTCTTTCTGCACAACTCACCTTTTCAATTGGGAGTGTAAATACGAGGTTAAACGTGTAGCTTCCTCCAGTTGCATAAGCAAGCAATTTCTCTTTTCCTGTAACAGTATCCTGTAATTAAATAGATACATACTATCATTTTTCTTTATTACAGCTGTATTCAAGAAGTATCAGGAGCTTTCCAAGTACAGAAAAAATGCCACTGCATTGCAGTTTAGAAAATAAAAAGAAGCTTTCTTGTTTGATGAAAAGATTAGATTTATGCTGCACATATGCAGCAAAGGAAATTCCACCATGAACATGGGAACCAAGACTAGCAAATTCCCAGACAAGAAAAGTTAGCCGAGGCATAGTGTAAGCATTGTGACGTCAAAAACACACTACAGAAATTGTCAAAGTCATCAAAAGTTCTAGGTAAAAGCATCAGACTCTACAAGATTTCCTTTGCATCAACATAATTGTGCCAGTAAAATACAGAAAACTAGTATGACCAGTCGCCCTGGCAGGAAAAAAATATTCCAAATAGTTCTGTTATCCAAACAAATTAATGTTACATTTCAAAGGTAAAAAGAAAAGCTTTGGAGAGTTTTTGTTAAGCAGTTACCATAAAACACAACTTCAAGTTGCAATTCTACTTGTTTCAAGCAAGTTTATATATTTAAGCAGACAATACAGCATTTTGAATACTAAGCTATGGCAAAAACCTCTTAGTGTGACTTATTTTTGCACATTCTAATAAAAGCAGCTGAATTACTCAGCACCACTGCCACAACACAGGTAGAACATACCTGTAATGCTGTCAGTCTCACATGCCTAGAAGATTTCTTAAATGCTCTACCAAAATGACTGTTTACACAGGCTGGTAGCAAAAAGGGGGAATGTTTTAAACTGAGGCAGGGGAGGTTTAGGTTAGATATGAGGAGGAAGTTTTTCACTCAGAGGGTGGTGATGCATCGGAACAGGCTGCCCAAGGAGGCTGTGGATGCCCCATCCCTGAAGGCATTCAAGGCCAGGCTGGATGTGGCTCTGGGCAGCCTGGTCTGCTGGTTGGTGACCCTGCACACAGCAGGGAGTTGAAACTTTCATCATTATGGTACTTTTCAAACCAGACCATTCCATGATTCTATGAAAGTACATTTGTTCTTTTCCTGAATGGACAATTACTGGCATTCCTGGTGCTTTAATCTTTCAAACCCAATCACTGAATTTCAAAATAGAATTAGCATAATAAAACCCATTTCACGTTATACATTTGTACACTTGCAGCAGGAAAGTTACTACTCCAGACCCATGTTCATAAATTGACTAGAAACTGGGATTCTGACGGACAGTCTGGAGACAGCACATCAAACGTATTTAAGATTCATGTGTCAGACCTTACCAACTGCAGACAGCTGCTAGAAAACAACATCTAAGGGGCAGGATAGAAAAATATCATTAAAAAGGAAACCCTTTTGGATAAAACAGCAGCATTTATTTAAGTGAAATGTGAATGGTGAAGGTACAAAAAAAATATCTTTGTGAAGAGTAAAAACAGAAATCTCAATTTTGTTGGCCTCCAACCGCATTAATTCAGTATGCTGGCATGTAGTCTGCAGCACCACGCTCCAGCAAACCTTTCCCACCCTCTGAGGAGTTTCCCTTTATTGCAACGACACAGCAAGAAGCTCCACACCAAAGTGTGTGCAAGATCAAAGCTTTTCTCCTGCTTCTGTGCATCACAGATTAGGTTAACCAAGTGGTGCAAGGAAGGCTGGAGCTCTGCTGTATTACTCAGGTGATCACTGCTTGCAAGGGACCCCTTTGGCATACAGACTTAGTTTTGATCCGTAACACAGTACATTTAAAACTCTGCAACAGCACAAAACTGGTAATTATTTAAACAGGAAATTTCTTTCTATTTTGTGACTAGAAGTAAGTAGCAATAGAAAAGTAGAACTGGGAATAGTTTGGGTTATTCTGGAGCCTAAACTAAACAAATAAATGAATTAAGGTTATTAATAGTCAAGATTTTCTCCAATTTGTTATACAAAAAAAGAGTGGCCTTAAATATTATTCTAACTTCTACTTTTTGCTAGCATTTGAAATATCAAATATCGTACTGGAATGCTGGTTTCCACTGCATGAACTACATGGAAAAATAGCTTGGCCTTCTTGCCAACATAGTATGCAGTACCTAACGTGAGAGCCCAAGAACAACAAATAAAACTTACTACACTGCAGTGTAAAATGAACTCCCTTCTCCATCAGTTCATGCTGGAAAGCTTGTTTAACAATACTGCAAAAATTGCAAAATACACAACATCGAACTGCAGGGTGGCTGCTAATTTTCTGTTTTTATTGCCTGAATTTATCATCCAATGTAAGTCTGTCCAAAGGAACCAAAGCTCCCAGAGTCTGTACGTGGAAGGCAATTCCAAATCTATTTAACAGTTTCTTAACTGCATGAGTATTAGCCTTAAAACGGGTCACATTAAATCTGTTTCACATAATTTTCCCTCATATTACACCTGGCTTTTTACCATTTATTCATGCCTCAGTTTGTTTCAGAAAGAAAAAGAATAGCAAGAGAAATGAAAAATCTTTCATGCCTCAAACAGAAGTATTCTTCTGTTATAAATAAATTAATTTTAAAAAGTCACAAACGCCTTCTCTGTATGGTTTTAAGTCAGCCTTTCTGGCATTTACATAGCATGTATGTATCAATTATTTAAGAGAAAGCAAGTCTGGAAAATAAGAACAAGTACTTTCATGCTTTTCACTGAAAGCAGTCTATGGTAACAAGAACACATAAAGAATTTTGGTCCATTTCCTTGGCTAGAGGAAAAAATATATAATTTGGAAATAAACAGTGCTTCTGCTGCAATGTTTTTCTTTGTTTGTTTGTTTTCACACAAAACTTTACATTTAATCACATTTTCAGTTTACTATACTGTCAGTTCACACATGCTCATGCTGCCAAAAACTGCAAATTAAAAGAAAAAATTTGATGAAACAGGTGAAAAAAAATCCTTTAACTTTCCCATTCTGAAACAGAAAGCAAACATAGGGAAAGATCTTTGTTCTGATGAATTTGAAGATGACCATTACTCCACTAGAGTAAAATACTAGAAAAATCTTTCATTGTCCAGGTGCTATCATTTGTCTTTCTTACCTGGCAACATCACTCAGACGACTTCTAAGTAATCTGATCTCTTCTTTCTATTCTCACAGTTTAGATGAATGAACGAAAGGCTAGCCAGTCAACATCACTAACAGTCCTCCACAGAACTTCAAGACAGGCAGAATTAAACAATGGCAGAGTCAGGAGCCAAATGTTTCACTGAAACAAATTACTAAATTTTTTTGTTTGTTTCTTAAACACACACAATTCTCTACTCTTCATTTTGAAATTACCCAGCGGTTCAGAAAATTATTGAAGTTCACAAACCTTTCAGTGGCCCCATGAGCAGAAGTTGCTCGAGCCCGCTGAATTTCATCCTCCAAACGTCTTTTTTCTTCCTCCAAACGTGCAATGTCTTCTGGGGATCGTCTCTGCTGACTGATGAGCTGCAGCTCCTGAAGAAGAGCCTCCTTCTCCTTGATGAGCTGAAGACGGTCCCTGTCCGCTTCAGCCATTCCTGGCCAAGATTCATTGTCTAACAAGGCCAGCTGCTGTTGTATATTTGAAACTCTTTAAAGGAGAATAAATATATTTCAAAACACAGAAGAGACAAAGATGAAGACAAGTAAAAGGAAAAACATCAGAAGGTGAAGCCTGTCAGCTTCAGTGACTTTCACCTAAACTCTGAAACAAAAAAAACTTGGCGGTCTTCACGAGGCTTATTTGTTTCTAAGCTTGGGGTATTTCTTGGTTTGTTTGTTTTAATTGTAAAGAATGTCAAGTATTCATGAATGCGTAACTGTATAAGAACTGCAACACATTACAACATGGTCAGTATCTGTCTTTACAGATTGCTCATTTTATAGAAAAATCAACTGATACTTTAGAGCTCTTCAGTATGATGTTTGCACAAGCTGATGAATCTGAATACCTTTCTGTTACTCATTCTTCCATTATCATATCTTAACATGGGATTTGAGAAATGCAGCAAAGGAAAGTCTGCCTTTGAGAAGTTCTGTACTGTCCATGCCCCACCTCAACAGAGAAACTTGTCCTGACTGACAACAAAACTTTAAGAACATATTAATTATCAGTAAAACAAAAATGTAGGTCCAGAAAAAAAGATTTACTGGTTGCAAAATCCAGATGGCTTCAGATAGATCAATCATCAAATCAAAGTTGGATATGCTAACTTCAATGTTATTTTTAGTAGTAGACTTCATAGCCAAAAGGAGTTTCTTGTTTTGTTTTTATCTCCATACACTGAACCATTACATTCTTGCAATTATTGTTGTTTTCTGATTCCACAGTTGACAGTGTGAGAAACTGATCTGCTAAAAAGAAATTCTGAACTCTAATAAACACTACACCAACCTCTAACGCTAAAAATTTCACAACTGTTTCTTTTGGCAAAATCAAAAGGTATGTAAGCATAACAGGGAGAACACTCTGTTACTGTTCGTTTTTTTATGCTTGTCTTACAGTGATCAATTTAAGGCACTTCAGAAGCTTACTGTTAAAATGAAAAGTAAATAAGAAAATCCAGCTTTCTGATTTTTGAACATTTGTAAGAAACTATGCTGCACCAAAGTTATGCATCTGTACACCTCAGTTTCATCTTGGCTTTGAAATGGCAGCATTCAAAGTTAAGGGCGCAAGAAAAGATTACTGTCCTTAAATGAAAAAGTATGTGAGAATAAAAGAAATGAATTAACAAAGTAATGTTAAAAGCACACAACAAGCAAGCAGAAAATCCACAGCATGATCATGTCTGCCCAAGAATAAATGAAAAGGCACACAATGAAGGTAGATTTTTCCTATTTAAACCCTAACCTACAGCAGTATTTATTTCGGACTGTCAACTGGAAAGTATCTGGTCATCTTGTATCATGGCAAGGAAAATAAAGTATTAATGCAAGTCAACGATTGTGTTAGTTAGTTTACATGTTCATAGATAAACAGGAATCTTACTGTTAGTTTTTACAAATACCATTCTCTCCCTTTAATTTTCATTTACAGCAAGCAAAGAACTTAGGTATTGTGTTACATTTTAGTCTGAAGTGTAATATTTTATCAAGTCCTTCAATACCTTTTCAATCTCCTGACATCAATACCCAACTTCCTGCAAATAGCTAGTGAAAGCACCATTGTGAATCAATACAAGCAGTTTAAATATTTCATTCCTCAGCTATTATGCATGAATTCCAGAGGCAGTTTCCTGACAAACACCTCATCCCCTCATAGGACGTCAGGGCCACTCACCCTCCCTCTTCTCTCTCACCCACTCTGCTCAGCGGTTAAAGATTCAGGAAACACTTCTGAACATGTATACAGCTTGATTTTCAAGCGTTCAGTGCCAAATGAAACAAACAGGAACGCGAGGTCTGCTCAAGAGAATTGTAAAACTCAAGCACATTTGGATGGTCATAGCTTAGTTTGGGAGTGTGAATCAGCTGAGCCTTGGCAATGCATTGGAATGACCACGTTCACAAGCTCTGTTGTGGCTTGTGAATAAAGATGAGAAGTGTTTGGTGAAGACTCTCGGTTCAGTTTAATGAAGCAGCTGAAGGAGTGACCCAATCACAGTTGCCTTGCTAGGCATTTTTTTAATGCAGGCTGAGCTGGTTATGATACTGGCCAATGAGGTAAATAAACGCCAACATAGGCAGCAAAGAGAGAAATGCCAGCAGACAAGATAGGAAAATGGCAGAAGGAAGGAAGTGATCTCTCTTTTCAGTGTCATTTGGCCATCAAATCAGCTTGGCTGATCAGGACAATGCTTGAAATACAGGAGGTTTTAATTTAGACTCTTGTATTTGCTAAGAACACATTACTCCCCCTGGGTATGTCATTCCAGATTAAAGTTTGCTTTTTTCTCCAGATTTCTGATAGAAGATGCTTTGAAAGCATAAAGTTGTGGTACAATAACTTAATTGTACCATTATTAAAGGAAAAAGTACTGCTGTGGACTAGGCTTGTGTCACTGAAAAGTTACAAGATCTGATTAGGTACTTAATTTGATTCCCTTGATGCTCTCAGCATTTCTGCTAGCAGTTCCTGTCTCTATTTCTTCCCTTGAAGCAAAGAAAAAGCACTTGCGTAACACTACATAATGCAGAAATCTGTTGGGAGAACTTCAGCAGTAGTAAGCCAACTTCCTGCAACCTGTATTTCCTGCAGTTCCTGCAAGCACACCAAACTTTTCTGGGGAACTTTGTTGCTTGTCTTTCACTAAGGACATCTCTATGTACCATATTGCTCCAAAAAGCTACCAGTGATAAAACTTGTTAAAATTTATACTGTTAGCTAGAAAACGTCCCTAGGGCTTTTACAGTCTCCCTCACCCAAACCTAAGAAATGTATCTGAGGATAGAAGACATTTAATTCACCCAAAACCTTAATAAGAAAAATCCTTCCAAGCATATTTCATACTTGTAGCTTGTTTCTTGCAACACAAGCTTTTATTTCCAAACATAATAAATGCACAGATAAGCACTTTCACTGTGCTTGTCCATGGCAAATTTAATGCCCATACTACACCAGACATCTCTTACAAAAAGTGGCTATTTTGCCTTCTTTCAGTGTATACATTTTGTCTACCTTAAACACTCACTTAAATCAAATACTTGACAGGGATAGCAATTTAGTTTCTTCCAAACACATTTTTGCTTCTTGCTGTCTATTTTTAAGATACTACTCCTTAAGTCTAGTCACTATGAGAGTCCTTTTATCTTGGCCTAACACCAGATACACCAAGGTCTCTACTAATGTAGCAATTTAACGTATTCCTGGAAAAAAAAGCAGTTAATTTTGAAACATCAACATTCCAGGCATTTTGCCCATTCCCATCCTTGCATAACAAGCACCGAGGAGCTTGCATTCCACACTCGAGTAGGTGGTATCAAATGACTGGTTTCCTAGGTAGGCAAGACTGACTTGCTGTTTATTTCAATATTTAAAAATTTCTAATAGAAATGAATAGAGCAGCTCCTATTAAGCAGAGAAGCAGGAGTGCACAGGTGAGATAACCTTCGTGATATGAAGTAAATACAGATTTGAAATGGCAAAACTTGCCCTGAAACGGTCCCAGTGAAATAGCTGGCTTGGTGCATACACAGTTCACAATAACACAGGCATGGCACGAGGCTGGAAAACTGGACAAACATTAATTTTCCAAGCATCATCCAAACTACATCAAGGGATGGAAGAAGTATATATTTTCAGAATAATGCAACATGTCTCAATCATTACACCTCCACATAGACTCCTCTAGACAAACCAGAGCAACAATTCACCTACTGCAGGGAACCTGCTTTAGCAGGAGGTTGAACTAGAAGATCTCTAGAAGTCTCTACCAACTCCTACAATTCTGTAGTTTTGTCATTGGAAATAACTGAGGAAAACTAAATTATTTTGCTGGCATTCAGAACCTCTACTTCCAGACTGTTATCTGAACCCCACATAAATGAAATTATACTGATGAGCTCAAGAACTTCTATTTTAGAAGATTTTACTTATTAAAGTATAGCATGAGTTGTACTCAAGCGATCTTGAAGTAAAAATCACTTTTTATGAGATGAAACAATCTGAACTGCAGACTTTACAATCAAGCCCATTACTTGGTACGAGCAAAGCAGGTGTCTTGGGGAAATAAACACTCTGAAGGAATATCAACATCCAAATTCATATTCACTAAAGGGACAAAATAATACGCTACACTAAGTATTTCCTAACCTACAAGTGCTGATCATCGTGGCTTAAACAAGTTCTCTGAAATTACTTTGAATTTTCCAAGAAAAGAAAAAAGAAAAATACTTCTTGACTTTTGGGTGACACATCAGACTACAGCTGAAGCTTTTGTTACCTGTGCAATGGGAATATTGTTAATAATAAATAAAAACAGAACCCATAGCTACGATTTGGAGGAAAATGGTAACTGATTGCACAAATATGCAAAAAAAAAAAATAAAAAAAATCAGTCCAGCTTACTTTTTTCTTTAAGCAGAACTGGGTTCTGGGACACCAGGAGGCTTATGGTCAGATCCTAACTCAATTCTCTGCCACTTCAGCCAGCAGGCAACTTCTACCACCGTATAACACCAAGGTTATGGGACAGAAGACACGAAGCGAATAGCCTAAGAGCCAGGTAATTTCTGGTATTTATAGGCCCTTGGGAGAGTGAATTACAAATTGTATTCAAAAAGAGGAAGGCTAGGGAAAGAGGAAGAGAGAAATGGAAAGAACAAGAAGTTGGGGAACTTAGCCAGAAGTTCATAAAATTTCTCGACTGTGTCTACTTTGGCTGTTCCTGCAAGTATGTGCCACTGTGGCTTTGGTGGACAACACGAGTACACTCTGTAGGATATCCAGCCTTTCTGGCAGCCTGTTTCAACAAAGAGGTCTTAAACTGGTTTAAGATACTCATGAAATCTTTAGAGTCCATTGGCATTTTGCAGATAAAATAAGTTATTCACCTTGAAAATAAAGCCTGCTAAAACCAATGGTGGAGAGGATTCAGGATTTCCTTAACTCACATTCAAATTGGTACAATGAAAAGATATAGAGGGAGCAGAGCCATGCTACAGTACTAACCCAAAGAGAAAGACAGCTGTATGTTTAAAAGTTAATACTGGGAGATTTAAATTTAGCTAACATTCCTAAGCCGGATATTTATCGGATATCAGACAAATTACTTCATCCTTAAATCAGATTTTCAGATTAGTTTAGCAGAGTAAAACATACAAGTCCACTGAATTTCACTAAAAATTAAGCAAATAAATTTGCTTATAAATGCAACTTGCCTGCACAGGATGAATTTTAACAGAAAAATACAGAATTATTTTGTTTTGCTTTTTCAAGCCTCCATATGCTCTAAACAATTGAATCAGAAAATAACAGTTCCAGAATTGAAAATGCAGGTGACTGTAAAGAAATTACTCTTTCTGCATCCAAATTAGATAAACTGGTTGAAGATGCTTGATGTTTCTGTTCACTTAAGTCAGCTGCCATCAGACTGGATTTAAAAAAAAAAATAAATAAATTAAAAAATCAGTTAATGCCAGTACTTGTTATTGGAGGGATAATTTTTCATCTATTGATCAATTCACTTCCCAGCGTATGAGGTGCTGTAGCAGTGACATTTCATCATCACTCACCAATATACTTTGTGCAGTCATTACTTGAAATGGTACAACTTTGAGGTATCAAAGAGAAACAATCTGCTTTTGATTTCTCTTTCTATGAAACAGTCTATTCAGAAAAATGCTTGAGGGGGACACTTTCCAGCATGCAAATGCTTTTCATGAGAGGTGGTCTCACTGAAATAGCAACTGAAACTGAAAACAGTATTTATCCAGGCAGCTTGGGGCTGTCTGCTCAAAAATGTCTTCCTCCCTCCCTCTGCTTCTCTGGAGGGCCACACTGACAGATCTGAAAGAAACATTTTCACGGAAATAAGGTACAGTTTATTTAAACAGTAATGGGGGGGAAGAGAACGGTAAAGAGCAGGAGCCCCTCTGCTCAGCACGACTGCTGAAATAAAAAGCAGAGTTTCCATGTCTCCTCTCAGAGACTGGAACAGACACAGGATAAAGGATGATTTCTACAGCTTTTTGAAGATGTCGGAATCCACAGCTCACAGCATCTGAAGATACTCATGGGAAAAATTAAATTGCAAATTATCTGACTTCTTTCCAGTAGGAAGCTGAAGGGAAAAAAAAAAAAAAAAAGGAAAAAAAAAAAAAAAGGAAAAAAAAAAGCTCTGCAAATGTCTTATTTATGCAAAGACCAAACCACTCAGCATTCTTGGAGAGACTTTTAAAGGAGGAATAAAAATCAGAGTATATTTTATAAAGGAGGAAAGATATTTGAGGAATATAAACCAACTTCCCCACTATCACAAGGTTCATCTCCCACATTTCTCAAGGTGGGTCAGTCAGAAATCCCAACACTGCATTTTCTCACTAAAATACACACAGAGAATGTACTTTGATTTTAAAAAACTTCTGCACTACACACGGCAAGTATTCTTGCCATCAAGTTGGCACCTAAAGCTGTCAATAGTACTATCAGTACTATCATCTATGGCAAAAAGGCAACATGCTGCCCTTCAGTTAGGGGATATATTTTCCCCTTGCTTTCCTTTAAGGGAAGAGAGACGCTTTTTTTCTTCCAGAGTACTTCTAAAGCCCTACCTTAAAACTTGGACATACAGGCAGTTTGCCTGCTAAACTTGTTTGCTATGCATTTTACACCCTGCTTGACAAGCAAACAGTCATAATATACTGTTTTACAGTTGTGATATACTGTAGCATTTTAATTTTCTACTTTGTAGATTTTAATCCATGGCAGCACATTCCGTCACCCACACTGCACAGTAACAGTAGATATTTCAGCAGCCAAGGCAGAATGAGCACAAAGATATTTAGTAGAGACAAAAGCCCTACAGAAATGCCAGCAAGCTAAGGGGAAGGAATGCATGATAAATGAAGAATGCAACCACAGAGATAACTGGTAGGGGCAATGAGCTTTGTGCAGTTCCACTCAAAAGCTGAAAGCTGATTATTTCTGTACAACATACTGGGCAAAATAAGGCTACTATTTTAAAGGAACTAACGTGCTTTTGCTAAATAACAGAGCATTGTTGGAGCTGCTATTTCAGGACAACAAAACTACCCTTACTGCGATCACTGTTCTCTGTTTGAAATTAATGTCAGAAGCCAAATCGGTTTCATGGTCAGAAATATTGCATTCTGTATATAAACAAATATTCAGCATTTCCACCTGAGAAAACTTAATTAAGAACTTTTAATACAATCTTTAGGGCACTGGTATTTCTCCTAAACTTAACAGTGCAAAACTAAATCCTATTCTATTTCCTAAAACAACTGTCATGTAATCCTAAATTACCATTGGGCTGTGATGTGCTTATGGGTTACCCTCTGACCGAACACTACACACACGGCCTTTTGTTTTGCCTTTTTTCTTCCAGCTAATTAATTTTTGATAGGTAATAGTCACTGGTACCCACATAATGCATTTTACAATGCAGACTTTTATTCCAGTTACAAACGCTGAAGAAATTTAGCTGTGTATTTCTAATGTGCTTGCATCAATTTCTTCTTCTATGCCTGTATTGCATCCAAATGTGGGCAAACTTTCCAAGAAAAAAAAAAAAAAAGGTAAATTGCCTATAAGGCTTCCAATCTGTGCCAAGACACATGACAACGTAAGAGTTTTCCTCAAGAAAAGCCATCACTGCGTGAAGAACAGGCAAGAGTACTGGACTTTGTCTTTACCCCTTGTTCTTAGAGACAGAAAAACAAACAAAATTGAAAAGGAAAAAAAAAAAACAACTTGAAAAACAAATTTAATAAAATAAGGTTCTCAGAACTGACTGTAACTGGATCTTTCAAGTGCCAGTCAATTTCAGGTAGAGAACATTCTACCAGAGCAAATGAACGTGATCATAAATGCATAACGTTACCATGTTCAAGCTATCATCTGCACCTACACCACTGTCCTGAGCATGCAATAAATAATTTGAAAGCAGCAAGATTAAAGAAGGGCCTATTAAACTACACTGGTATGTAATACTTTTAAAATAATTCTAAATCAGATAGGTTACTTTCAGAAAGCCATGAAAAAATCTGCAGGACTTCACAAAAGAAATAAGTAATTATAATAAGTAAGTAGGTTGAAAGACTTGATAAAGAATTAATTAATTCCAAGTTAACTTAAAAACATTTTTTCATATGTTTTTCATCCTCAAAATTTATTTTTATGTGCCTTTTTATTCAGCTATGAATGTCTACTTATCTCAAGAATTTTTTCATTCTGCTTCACACTGCATTTAGTACTTCATCATTCAGAATTCAAATCACAGGCATGTAAAGTTCTGAACAAACTGACAGAGACAGCCAGATACAAACCGGGTGCATATTAAAGACTGTTTATAGTGAGGCTTGAAAAGAATAAAGAAAAAATAAACAGCTCAATTAAACTACTGCAGCCTCCTGTTTGTACAAGAGTAGAATAGCACTGACATTCAGTTTTATCTATGCAAACAAACATAATAATCTTATAAGGTTTTACGTTTACCTAAGCTTTTATTACCTCCAAACTATCAGAAGTAAGCACAGTAAGCATGTTAATCTTCCTCAAGACATTTCAGTTAGGAGACTGGCTCCAGTTCTACTTTGAAAACGCTGACAACTTAAGTAAAAATAAAAAATACCAATTTTGTCTTTATTTACCTTTTCTTGGCTTCTTCATATTGCCAGTTGAGTCTTACTTTGTCTACAAGTCTTGTTTTATCATCGAACCCAAACTTTTGCAGAGTTGAAGAGTAAAGATGGGGGGGAAATAGATGAGATTTTAAATGAGATTTTAAATACATTCTCAAAATAAAGGGTTAAATTAGTCTCTCCTATTGGCCTAACTAAAAATTGTGAATGTTTTGAATAACAACAACCAAAATCAATTTTATGCTTCAGACATACAACTCTGGTTTTAGCTAAACATATAAAAGATAAGTGAGCCCTTTCAACAAATTACGATACAGGAAATGAAGGGCTTGCAAACGGTATCACTTACAAAACATCAAAGCTTTTCAACTTTATGCAAGCCTAAATTATAACAAGTATGTTTTAACTGAAATATTTTATTACTTAAGGGATAGTTTAATAAGAAATAATTCAGACTACATACCATATACTGCAACGTATTACCCAGCACTTAGATCATTAGTGTGATTTAAACACTATTACAAAAACATTACCTGTTCTTTGAATCAGTCAGTCACAAAAAATGCATGTATGTTACAGGTCCTTCTGTATACAGCCTGGTTTCTACAACAACTTCTCTTCATCTTAGGGCTTCAGTAGTTGCCCTCTTCATTGCTGCACCTCTAGATTTGCTATCTAACTGCTTCTTTTGCTCTCTTCATCATCACATGTGTAAAAAGCCACCTCTTCTTTACTCACATTCCATCACTAATAATTCAGGAAAATAATTAACCTCATTATACAATTTTATGTTCCTAAGAAAAAACACTTAACACTTAACTTAAAAATAATCTTCTGACTACAGTTGGCTCGTCTTAGAAGGCACTCAGTGTATACTGTGAATGGCAAAATGTTGCAATTTTCCTTTTAGGTAATTTGTTTTGGAATTCATTAATCATATCCAGCATCAGCCTGAAAAATGGCACCCCAAAGGCACCATTTAACTAACACCCTGCAAGAAATTCTGGTGTTAAATAAATTTTCTTAGATACTTCGGGATTAACCTATTAAAAATACAGATTTCCTCTTACACAGAGGTCCTCTAGAGGTATTCAGCTTGGCTACTAGTCATCAGTAAAAGGTAATGAAATCAAAATGAAGTGATAAAAGCCTATGGTTAGAAGTTACACAGTTCAACAGAAATAGCTGAATACAAAGTAACACACAAACTATGGTACTATAAAACTACAGACAGGTTCTCTTATTGCTCTGCTGTCAGTCTCATCCAAAGAAGCAAATGCTAGGCTGCCAGTTACAGAGTTATTTGAAACACTCTTTCATTCACACCGAACTATCTCTGAAGACTGATGATAAGCCATTTTCAAACACCTTATTCAAAGGCATATCTGAACATGAAAGTATAATAAAGTAGACCAGAAACTTTGTTAGTTGTTTAAGAAAAATATTTTGGGACTGAGTAAGTATTTCCTTGTCATAGGAAAATGAAAGGAACAGAGGTTTACTCCGTGTCTTTGATGTGTGCGAACAATGACAATCAAGATAAAAACAAGATTAAAAGAAACAAACTCCCATCTCTATTACCAAGCTGAGTGTATCTGTTGCCAACCTATGAGCTACACCATGCTCAAGCAGTAGAATGGCAAAGCCCACCATTCACATGCTCCAGGAACAATAAGAAAATGCAAATCCTTCACCAAGGAATATTCATTTGGATTTTTTGTTCTACCACAGCTAACATGTACTGAATTAAAACAGGAAGTAACAAAGTACCATTCCAATAGAAAAAGCAGCTGATTTTCTAAAGCAAATGGCTCACATAGGAATACATACCTCCCCAGTGATGTCAGTCTGAGAACAAGCATCGCAGTGTTGTTGAGGTAAACAGGAATCACTGAGTGAACTAGAATTGTGCTGGAGATCCTGCAGGGAATCTGTAATGCAACAGCTATTCCTGAATCCATCAGTTAGCTTGGCCAGGCTCTACAAGAAAAGACATTAAAAAAAATAATAACAACAGATTTTGATAATACCTTTTTTAATAGAAAAACAGAAATGAATTCTGCCTAGAGAGCATGACTTCATATAGGTAGCTTGCCTTAAAAGAGGTATTCGCATTAAATAAAATTCATAACATTATCAGCTTTATCAGCAAATAAGAAGCACCTTTGCTTTGCAATAATTATTTTTTTTCAAAGAAGCATCTAGATATACATATATTTTAATCTCATTTTTACAATTTATTTTAGGTCTATGAAAGTTTTAGTTTTTGTATGGCCTACAATCTAGCAACTGTCAGCTTACATACCAAGTTTGTTGGTATGAAAGACAAATGTGATTCACCTGCCCTTTTGCCATCTTCTGCCCAGGTTACATTCCTCAGCCATTAATGCCTTCACATACAACTTGATGAATAGCTTGTATTGATTGTGGTCTTATGGCAGCTGATTTCACCCTTGGGCTCCCTTGCCCAGCATTCACAGAGATATTTTACACTTTGGGTTAAGCAAGCAACATCTCTGAAATGTCTAGACAATGACATAAACTGTGAGGGTGAAGCACAGACTTCAGCAGTCTTAAAGGAGAAAAGGAGCAACAAAGTCAAGCAAAATTAGAGAAGTTTGTTTGACTGTAAGAACTTGGTCAGCAGGCTCTTAAAATTCCTTTAATGAAAAGGTGCAATTGTCACTGCCACTTATTTTCTGATTATGTATTCTCTGTTTTTCAGAAATGACAGATGATTTACTGTTTATGACGAAACTGCTATGCAGGCTGTCACTTATGACTAAGATCCTGAGTATTCTGCATCAAAAGAACTTTTTAAAAAAATGCTTTAAAAATAAATACTGGGGCCCCCCCCCCCCCCCACCAGAGGGGAAAAAGCAAACAAATTATATGAACTGTATCAGTTCATAGATCATAATGTAGTCAAGTCAGCTGACTGCAAAAATACCCCAGAAAAAAAACTCAAAACCGCTTACTGCATTGGCCAAACTATCTGAGAATCAGAGACGAAGCAGATGTAGCTCAATGGCAACACGCTGACCCTCAGGAATTTCAGTGCCTCTGACAACTGACAATTTGCAACAAGCACCAGTTACTGTGCATATCCAGTTACCAGGATAGTCCTCAATTTTCAAAGAGCAGTTTAAAAAGGATACCCTGGATCATACAGCAACACTTCTCTTCCTACAACAAATTCAACTAATGGAGTAAGGAAGATAAGCCTGTGTAACAGCAACTGGCTGCTGCTTACAGGAGCTGCAAAAGCCCCTTGTTGCCACCTGAAGACAAAGGCATCTATTACAGAGACCAGAAAGCAGCCTTAGGAATTGCAGCAGGCCTGAGATCCAGGCAGCAGAAACAGCGATGGTTTCTTGCACTAAGGAGCTAGGCTCTGGGTCCCCAGAAGAATCCAATTCTTCTGCTACCTCCCAGTCAAACTGGGCCATCTTAGCATGATGGACAAATTAAATAGTCATCCTAAGAAACCAAAATTCAATTTTGAGTTATACTGCCACTAAATCTCCAGCCAGTGGCCCTTTAACCTCTGGAGATCTGCTGCCAGATGAACAGCTCTACAAAGATGCAGAAAGAAAAGCAGGGTGTCTGCCATTTTAAGATGACTGAATATTATCTTTCTACTCAGTGCTCCAAAACTCACTGCAAATCACCCAGTCCTGTCAGTTTCTTGCTGTATGGAGAACTGAGATGGATCCCTTGTGGATTTATGAGATGGAAATAATTATTTTAAATTGTTGCTGCACAAATATCAAATGTCTAGTATGTTCTTTTTTCCAGTAAAGCAGAGCTGATCTCATGATCACCAGGGATTCAAAAAGCCTGAAGTATCTCCCAAATAAGCTATGTCCATTTGGCACCTTTGGCTAACATACATTATGCTACAGGTATATGTATTATGTTACAGGCACCACAGGTCCTGATGCCAGAACTTAAATCTAAACTTTTGCCCATATTTCAGCTACTTCATGCACTCCTGCTGCGCTCCTGACCTCCCACTCCAGCATCTCCCTGGAAGGTAATAAGGGACTGCTTGGATGCTGGCCAGGTTTCCTATCTGGGCACAGTTGCTGAACTCTGGATTTTACTAACAAATGACATAGCATTTTGCAGGTGGCAATCACCTTAACTTACATCTACGTGAATAGGTGACTGTGCTTCATGGTAAGTAGAGAAGTCCTCTGAGTCCTTCTTAATTGGATGAATTAAAAGCATACCCTCCAGCGATCATAACATGAAAAATTACAACCTAAAGTTAGCACACTTTTCCATAGAAACAATTTAGATCAGCTACAAGGAGAAAAATCCTCCCCAGCAATATGGAAGAGAGAACCTCTCTTTCATCTGAGGTTTATGGATGGATTGTTAATGGTAATCTTACAGTAACTGAAAGACCACTTCAATGCATGGATGTGAAGCTGCAGACACACCGGTCAAAATCTATCCAAAAAGAGAGCACTGCCATCTCGTAATTAATTTGTTGCTAGCTGACTTAGGTGGCACATAACATTTCAATGTAGTTCTTATCTAACCTATTTGGTTCACTTAAATGGTAAAGAAGGAAATAATAAAGAAGAAAATGATAAAAATTAAAAAAAAACAAAAAAAAAAAACAACTCTCCAATGCTTTCTAAGAAAGAACATTTTCGAAGAACACGAACATACTGGAACAGGAATTAAAGCATGAAGGGAGGGGGAAAAGAGACACACACACAGCTTTCAGGAACATAAGCACACACCTTGATTACTAATCTTATATAAAAAGTTTGTCCATTTTTTTGGAGCTGTGAGATTGTGTATTTGGCTTTATTTGCAACCACAGCACCCAGTTTAAATCCGACCACCCTCTGCTTCCCTTGTCAGACTTCTCTCCCACACAGCTCTACCCAATTATCATATTTCTACGACAGCCACAATTTTCCAAGCACCTACACAAGACTGAGTCACTTTTGCTATGTTTAGTTCTGTTGCTTACACTGGCCAGATTTAAATTAAGAAGTAGTATAAAATTTTCTATTTCCTTTCTCTGAAATAAATTCCCAGCTGTTTACAGAATACTTCCAACTCATCTATAAACAGCATTCAAAACAGACAATTTTCCGTAAGAAAGCCTGTCTTACCAACAATAGCTTTTAAAGATAGCGCTTTTGTGGACAAATCAATTTCCAAACCCATAGGGGAAAAAAAAAACCATCAAATTCTCAACTCATTACAAAGATGTTTTAAACAGACTTTCACTTGTTTGCCAAAGCTAAACGACTCCACAACAATTATCTTCAAAAAACAGTAAATGAAAGAGTATGCAGGCTCTTGTCCATATGCTAATGGTGGTTGTTGAAAAACAGAGTTCTGTAGCTGAGAATTTGCTCTATCAAATAGTGTTGTGCTCTTTCTATCTGATGTTACTTCCTTGGTAATAAACAAGCAGCGTTACTTTCAGAGTGACCTATGTATACTTAAAGACTATGCAACTGCACCTAAAATAGGTTTATAAGATGTGATTTTAAGGCATCTTAATGTTTACCACTGGATATAGTGCCAGTGGGGATTGAAAATCTAAAGAAATGGGGGGAAAAAAAATTTTAAAAACTACCAAGAGAGTCAAAACAAAGCCAGTAGTTAAGCTGTTCCAAGGTCTCACACACAAGACTTTAAATTACCCGTTAGTTTCCTAAAATGTGCGTCACAGCATCCATGAAGAACTGCCTTTCTAATCATTTTTTGCTAGCTAGGCATGTGGAAGACTTGAGAATCACTTTAAAACCTAGCCAACACAAAATATCAAGTATGTTAAAAGCTGCCAAGGCAGAAACTTTTAGTAGTGACTTAAGTGTTCTGTCTACTTGAACAAGGATTTGTGGTCCATCAGCTGACCTTCGGGTAATACTTTGGAGATTGAATAATTGTATAACTATGGAAATTTATTGTATGTAGATTACAAGCTACCCACATCATTTAACAGCAACAAAAAACAAAAACAAAAAAAAACAGCGAAAGACTATTGCAGAGAAAAATGAAAAGAAAAAAAAAAAAAAAGGAATGGCAGTAATAATTTAGTGCAGTCCCAAAAACTTAGGTAATGAAAATATTTTTTTCCATACAGCATTTTCAGAATGAGGTGAGGAATACTGTATCCAGAGCATGTTTCAGCAAGTCTGTACCAAAGTTCCTGCAGTGGCAAAGGATCGTGGCTCAGTCAAGTTATTGTCATACTGATAATGCAGACACAGCAGGTGAGAGCTCAGAGCAGATGCAGAAGTCATTCAAAGACATGCCCAAGCAGTGATCCAACACCTTCCCTTAATCCTCATACTCAGATTCAAAGAAAAATTTTAAGCTTGCATGATGATTTTATCTATTTATATATTATCTATTTTACTCTATTTTATCGTATGCTTTGAGGGTTTTGTGAGGACATTTGAAATTAATTTGTCTTAATACAAACACTTTGGAGGAAAGACTGAAGCAAAAAAGAAAAAAAAATTTTTTTTAAAAAAGAGCTGCTGAACTGTCACACAGTGACAGAGATCCAGTTTTATGAGAAACTCATAAAAGGAAAAACAAGCTGATAAACCTTTAGAACACGGATTCTCAATGCTACTTCTTCATAGGGAACGCAAGGGGACATTAAACAAAGTGGAAAACATATACTGTTGGTCTCATTTTTGTTTTTAAATACAGCATAATTCCATAGGAGTCTTTGACACAGCAGTAGTCGAATGCTATATTAAACAAAAACATTGGTCTCAATGTTAAGAACAGTATGTTATTTACAACAAAAATATGAAACTCATATTATGTATACTGTGAACATAAGGCTCCACATCTACTTCTTTTGAATAGTCTGCCATTAGCAACTATCAAACAGAATAATCAAATTTGGCCACCATGCTTGTTTATTTAAACCTGGAAATCCCAACACAATCACCAACAAGGAAATGGAAACAGACTGCACATTTCAGGAGTTGTGTATTTTTTTTACCTGCATAAGGTCCTGCCTCTCTTTTTCACCTGTGCATATGGCTTTCTTTATGGTTCGTAGCTCACTCATTATAGCCTGCGCTTCATCCAGTCTATAATTCGTATGAGCACTTGACATCTTACGATCGATCCTGTTGAAAAGACAAAGACAAGTTCAAGAATTTACACATAATTAGAAACACCACAAATATTTCAAGACCTTTTGTTTATTCATGTACCACTTCATTTCCAAGAATAAAATTACATTCTATTGGGAAGAAGCACAGCGTTCAGTGCCCAGTACACTCTAAAGCTAGAACAATGCAATTACCTACTCAGCTTTGCAAAACCAACAGATTTTCCATTTTTAACCTCCCCTAGTACAGAGTTTATTTACAAAGGCAACATTTGCAGGTTACTTTACACAACAAAAGTAAAATCAACCTAAAACTAACCTACACAATAATAACTGAAAAGACACTGGCAGCCAGGCCAACACTATTCAGATGCATCACTGCACATTTGAACATCTCTTCCAAGACTTCTGTCTGATCCTGTTTTAGAGGTTCCTAATGAAGGCATTCTGTTTTTTGGGAGAAATTTTATATTCCAAAAAAGTTATTGTAAATGCTTCCCCTTCACTACAGACATCTTTGAGTATCTTCTCTAGACAATATCATCTTGGAATATAATCTGTTATATTGGAACATCATCTATTGTCTCTGGACAATATCATTCACTGGAACAGACTGCCCAAGAAGGTTGTGGATGCCCCATCCCTGGAGGCATTCAAGGCCAGGCTGGATGTGGCTCTGGACAGCCTGGTCTGGTTGTTGGTGACCCTGCACATAGCAGGGGGGTTGAAATTAGATGATCTTATGGTCCCTTTCAACCCAGGCTATTCTATGATTCTATGATCTCCCCACACACACATCTGGTGGTCAGCCTCTTCTTCCATGTAACTAGTGACAGGACTAGCGAAAACAGCCTCAAGTTGCACCGAGGGGATTTCAGTTGCATGTTAGGAAAAACTTCTTTGCAGAAGTAGTTGTGAGGCGCTGGCACAGGCTGCCCAGAGAGGTGCTGGAATCACATTCCCAGAGTCTCTACAAAACTTTCCAGAAGAACTACAGGATTTAACGGCCTACCTAAAGCAATTTGTGAAAATAACGTTAAATTCCTGTTGAGGTATGAAGGCCCCAATTTACCTGTTAGTCTAACATATAAAGTATGTGCAGGTGTGTATTTACACATTTTGCGTAAATGAATATTTTTCCAAAAAAAGTTGGTACGTGTAATGGTCCCTACACCACTCCTAGGAACAAACATCTTCAGAAGGTATCTCTGGATAAAAAAGACGATACAGCCATCAGGTGTTACATACAACATCAGTTTATAAAAAGTAGTAGTAAGAGATGTCCTAGATAATTATGACAAGAATTTTGTGTAATATTGAGAGTAACTCAGAGTTTCAAGGTATATTATGCTAGAAATAACAAATAATTTTAAAAAAAGCATAAAAAATAGTGCATAAATCCTAGTCTGTGAAAAAACAAACTGTCAGAAAAGACCCTCTTGCGTTGTAATACAGGATAGGAGATAAATCTAGAAACCTCGTAACTGTCTTGTATTCCTAGAATATTTAAGTGGTCCCAAGAATACAAATGCATTTGCAATTTAAACTACACAAAAACTTTTCTCACTCTCACTCAGTCTGTTCTGTCAGTGAAGCAAATCACTAAAATTCTACTTGCAGCAGATTACTTACTTTAAAATTAAAACATTAAGATCCTAATAAGAAAAACTAAAAAGCTTGAATAAAACTCCTGTGGCTTTACTGTGTAGCTCACAACATTCAGGACAAATTACAGGCTGGGTTTCCGCAGTTTTGCTTTGTTTATTTTCTTCTGTCAGGTCCCGACTTTGGACAAAACGCAGTATAAGCCTGAACCTCAACTTTCCGCTTAAGCTCAATTTTGCCCATGTTGCATATGAAAACATATATAAGCCTTTCTGATTTATGTTTCAAAAAGCAGAAGATACTTAAATCATGTGCCTTAAAGTTCTGCTTTGTTTTGTTTTTCAGATGATTGCTTGAGTCTTCATTCATTTTTACTTAAAATCCTGAAAAGATTAGGTAAAACCATGGCCAAACAACTACTCCGATTGACTACAAGTTTCATGAAAATGATAATGTGGTTTTATCTGAAGGTTATGTTAACGTTAAAAACATAGATTCCACCCAAATTCTAGACCAGGAAATGTCTCCTACACAACTGTTCATTATACTATTTGGCAGGTACAAGGTGGCATTACAGGAAGAGGAAATTATTTAATTTCAACCAGATTTTTGTCCAGTTACCCACAAACTAATGTTCCTGGACGTCACTTTGGAGCCCAACTTAGAAACTGGTATTTGTTTAAGCAAAGAATCAGAAAAGACTCTACTGCCAGACATATCACAGCTTAAATCAGTATTGCTGTACATCCAAACAGCCTCAAATATTTTACAAAATTACGTTATTTATTGCCCATTCATTTTTTTTTCTCCCGTTCACAAAGCTCTAGTTTTGAAAGCCACAAAGTTAACAGGAATCTTCCATTTATTAATGGGAAAGAGCATGATGGAAATGCAGATTAGCCCTTTATACAAACAGGAAGAGCATTCAAGTAATACTCAACTATGAATGAAGCACACATTTTCTCAGGAAGATGTTTCCAGAACAAGTAGGCTACTAACACACTCACAATAGTTTTGATCCCATACAGCAGTCTCCACTCTGTTTGCTGCCACATCATTCAGATACATAAGTCTCCTCCTCCAGTCCTCATTAAAGTGTATGCCTGTAGTTGAGTTAAATCTAATTTTAAAGCTTTTGTCAGTTCTCATATCCTCTGAACTCGTGCGTAGCTATAAATTGTTTAGTCAGCCCTAATTCCCCATCTCTTCTCATTTTCTCTGAGCATTCCTTCCGCTCTCGCAGCCAACTGGCTGGGTTTTCATTTCCTTTGCTGCTAAACGCCTTCTTCCTCCAAAATCCTCTGCTCTTCCTCCTGGCAAGCAGAAGGGTCACTGAAAACACATGGGAGAGAAAGAGCTGCTCCTCATCCTCACGCCCTAACAGTCAGATGAAGGAATATGTTCCAGAAAAGGCTCAAGTTTAACTCCCTAACCCCGAGCTTTAACAGGATCGGCTGTACCTTGGGGCAAAGGCACCCCTAGAGACCAAGGAGCAGAGAAGGAGATCACGCAGGGTGGGAGAGAGGCAGGACTGAAATACTGAGCTCCAGAAAGTCTCCAGTGGGCACGGGCAGGCCGTAACATTTGAAGGCTTATCATAACATTGCCAAATTTGGATGAAAGTGGAGAAAATACAGCCCGAATGAAAAGTTGCAGCACTACAGATATTGGAATTCTGACTATAATGGAATTGCAAAGCTATTAAAAACTCAGCAGTGGTTGAACACAGAGCTGTGTTGGTTCTGATACCTGCTCCCAGCACTGTGCTGCTTAGAGGTTCAAAGCAAGCCTTCAGCCAGATATAAAGCCTGAAGTGTGACAACTCTCAGTATTGTTCTTGGCACATACTTAAAATAAAGTGAAGAACATGGCTTTAAAACAGCTGAACAGGATGCATGCCAGTCTCAGTTTGGCAGTTACTTGACGATTTGACCAAACACAAGAAGGAACAAAAAATACGAAGTCCCAAAATTTAGAAAAGGTTACAAAAAGGGAGAAATGCCTGGAATGCGTGAGTCTTCACAAAAGAAAAAACAGAAGAAAAAAAAAAAAGCAACATGAAATACTTCTCTTTTAGAAAAGGAATGACAGGACTCTTTTCAAACAGCACACTTGTTTCGTGGATATGCAGAAAGTAAAATTCTTGACCTTCAGTACTTGACTGGAGAGCCCCTTTTCCCTAGATGAATAAGAGTGCAAGGAGAGAGAGGGCAGGGACAGCACAGGGCACAGGCACACTCACAGCCTTGGCTATCTACCTACAAAACCATCCTCTCTCCTGACTACACAAGGAGGCTAGAGAAACTTCTCTCTGCAGTTGTTAGACAGCACAAACACTATCCAAATAGGCTCATTTCCTACTGGAAGTGTAATAATTCAAAGAAAAGAAACTGAAAAATTACCTGAAAAGCCAAAACAAAAGCAGAATTCACCTCAGAGAGTGGAGCTCAGCAAGCCACAAACACTAATTTCACAACACAGATCACTGCAATATCAGAAAGAACGCTGGCAAAATGCTGTCACCAGCTACAGCAAATGGCACTGAACACCACCCAGAGCACCACCAGACAGAGTGACTGCAGCAGCAGCAATGAGAAGCAGCACTGAAGCACTGAGCTGTCATGCCTGAACTCTTAAACCAGCTGATTTATTACCACCACTGACTGATCGGGTACACAGGGCTCGCCTTGAATCGACTTCTCTCTTGAATGTCTCTCCTGTATCCCCATCCTGGAATATGGGCAACTTAACTTGGGCTAAAATCCAAGACAAACATTTGTATTCATAATCATTTGCAGACTTTACTTCTCAGTGAGTCGCACTACTTCGCTGGGCTATCTTAAATTAATTATGTTAATTGAAACAATCTTGAATTTCAAATGGCCTTCAAGTACTTCCACCTCCCCACTCAAGTGGGTAGTCTTTTTATAAAAAATTGCTTTTATAAAAAGCAATTGAACCTATAAATAATTGGACCTATTATCTCAAAAATGCCTGGTGGAAATGAGGAGGAAAACAAATAACCAAAGCAGAAAAGGCAAGACAATTTTTACTCAAAGAAAATATGATGGAGAATATTATGACAAAATTGCTTTTGCTCTTCTTACTTAACAGGGGTACTACCCAGAAACATTGATCAGTCTTAAAATATTTGCAGTTTCAAAACATAGACTGCTTGACATTACAATTATGAATTCAGTTAATTCTCCTACAGCTAACTGTAAATGTTTTGTGTAGTCAATAAAATATATTTATGCCTGAGAATGATTACATTATACCTGCTAATGAAGGATTTTGGCTGGACACATTTTGTTTTTTTTTTTTCCCCTGAAGCTTTTAAAATTCATTAAAAAACAAAAGAACCTTGTAAATGGGATGACAAATATGAAATGCATAGGCTATTCCTTTAACAGAAAGAACTGAGTATCTTCCTTTATACAGTTTAGTTAATGTAATGCCATCTTTGGTTAACTCTGTCTAAGCTGGAAAATCAGGAACCTAATTGCTCTGGGACCTCTGGAGCTTAGCCAGGATTCCCAAAGCAGAAGTGTGTGTCCATGCTTCACAGCACCAACACAATAAATCCAAAGCTTCCAAGTATTTCCACAGATGCTGTACTTATGCTGCAAAATGCATTATACATGCAACAGTTCCAACTTTTCAAGCGCTTGCATTAGGCAGTTTGTTTGCATGCATGCTGGAGAGATGGCCAAGATTTCTAAATGCACAGCCACACGTCCAAAGCAAATCCAAGAGCTGTTCAACGTACAGCCTAGCTCTGGGCTTGTTGAACAGATCTGGAAGTCACAACAACGTGTGTTTACCTGCCACCTTTTCCATGGCCTGGCAATCTTTCTCCCTATCACACGGGGCTTCCTGCATATGTGCTATGAGTGCAGGTGACTAAGCAGTACATAGATGGAAGTCTCTCAGTTCCCATCTGATGGCCTGCAGGAAGAGTGGCAGGTAGAGGGTTACCACAACAGTTTGCAACCTTTGCCATCAGCAAGCGTGAAGGAAACAAGAGCACAGGCTATCTAATGGTCTGGGAGCAGCAGCAAACTGCCCTGAGCTCCCTCAGCTACCTCTCCTTCCAGAGAGGAAACAAGGGGTCATATTTACATGCAGTCATTTTGCACGCATGCAACAAAATCCAAGGTCTCACAGAGCTTTACATCTACTGCACATGAACACATCAGCTATGCTCCCCAGAATTGGAAGGTCTGACCCTCAGGGAAAAGGAAGAAGTAGTATTGCAGTGTTCAGGCTCTCACACAGTAGAAATATTTTGCCCTGCCAGAAAGCTGAGGTGCTGCTCACAGAAACACTATCCCATTGCACAGTGGTTCTGATTGGGCTCCAGACAATACATATTTTCAGAAGATGCTTGGAGTACATTTTTAAAATCTGATTCATTTTCAGGCAGAATGGAAGGACGGTACCTATAAAAGTGTTTTTGCATGTGGATCTCTGAAATCACCTTTTCACCTAAGTTTGTCCAGTCCTTCTTCCATCTTTGCACACTGTTCTCAACGTGCACCATTATCATAGCAGAAACTCTGAAGCAGAGCAATTAGAAACTTTCTTTTTTTCTTTTTTTGGCAATAGTTTCCTGAGCAAGTCATTCCAAGATGGGGGAAAAAAAAAAAATCAGCCTCCCACAAACCCTTAACTTACTCTTGCAGAGTTTCCACTCCTTTTTCCTTATATTGCAGCTCTTGCTTCATCTGTGCCAATTCTCGTTTTAGCCTAGAAAGCTAAATATACCAAAATAATTTAAAGTAATAATACGTAATGGAAACTTTCATTATAAAAAATAACTGTTTCAAATACAAAACTTAAAATCATTTTTAAATAAATGGAAGTTATAATCTACGTTTTCTTCTTTTTTGCTTTAACATTTGTAATAAAATAACACATCCTCTGAAATATCAAATGACCCAACCACAATATTCACCTTTTCCCTCATGTTTTCTATTCTTTTTCCACCTCAAATAGCTTATACTAATAGCTAAAAGCTTCATATGACTTCCTTTCTTCCACTGTAGCAAACAGATGTGTAAAAAGAAAAAAAAAACAAAACCAAGAAACACTGAAATATTTAATGCTATTCGTTTTTCAGTCTAGCACAATAAAATCACTGGCATCCTTGTTCCAGAAATGGCACCCTGATTTGCTATGTGTTTTCACACTGTCTTGCCTTTTGCCCTCTCTGGCAGTCATCTTGATCCAGGGAGTGTATATAGATCAAAAATGAAAGAACGGCAGTGACTCAAAAAATATCTACCACTACTTGATACTACACATTTTCGTCTATTTATTCTATTACCTGAAGCACTTATGTCCACATGTACACACATTAAGTTGAACAGACTGTCCTATGCACTTGTGAAATCGTTTTATATTGAGATGCAGGAAAAGAGACAAACAGTTTTAAGACACCTTGTTTATTTTCTTTAAATATGATTTAACTAAATAAGGCTTGTTTTCTTGTTTAGACTATGCTGACACTTAGAGTATGTAACACAAGCAAACACTGGTCAGCACATAGTAAACATACACAAATAGAATAAATGCCTTCGAAGGGTGGTGAACGGGATTTAATTTCAGAGGCACGCATGTGAAAAGCTGTCACTACAACAGAAACAGAACACTATCCTGCAAAGATTTTTATTGATTTTGTGAGCTGAGTGCTTAGCATGCTAAATCCCATTTTACCAGTTAATGAAGAGAAATGTGCAATTTAGAAAATAGGTTTAAAGCTCAGTGTTATAAACTGCTTTTTACAACCATTCGTGACTATTCTATCAATTTCAACAACTTTCAGACTTCAAATCTTCGCAGCATAAGATCAATTTCTAAAGCCAACTATTCTTTTTTCAGACAAGACAGTACTAAAACCATGGTTATAGATTTGGGGTTTTTTTAAATTATTATTATTAATTATAACATTTTATCCCAGAACCGCCTAGAACTATCAAAAAGCCAAACTTTGGATAAAAATTAGAAGATCTGCTTGGTCAGCATGTCTATTAAATTGTCAATGGACTTACAAACAAATGGCTAAGTCTAGAGCTCAATGATATCCAAGGAAACCCACTGAAAATGGTAAGTAAGAAAATAGTAAGACAGTAGGTTTGAACTGTACTCAATCAAGGCAGAATTTTGCTGCAGAATATTTCCTACTTACGGCAGTCTGCAGAGAGAAAGTAATTTCTGAAAGCCTAGCTGAGTGCGCCTCTGCCATCTATGACAAAAACTTTATGCTTGTAACATGGAAAAAGCATTACTTTCAAAGTTACTGCATTGCAATGAATGTAGAGTTCTTTTAATGTAGCAAAGGTCTGAGTATACTTTTATATTTTCTTTTCAAAAACACATGCAGCACCCAATGTAAATGTCAACTGAAACGCACAGTCCCCCTCTCTTCCCCATGCCTAATTCACATTTTACAAAATTAAAAAACACTACTCACCCTGTCACGACGGCTGGCTATTTCTGCTTTAATCTGATATGGGTCATACTTGGTATTAGTTGAAAATCCAGAGAATGCTAAACAGATGGAAAACATTATTTTATATTTATTTTTTCCTTTACCACACTTCTTAAGATGTAGCACTATTTAAAAGACCGTTGCATTCACTCTTTGTGTTACAAGTCACTTGCTTTTAAAATAATTCTCTCGATTAAAGTGCAACAGAAGAATTATCTTTGGTCTGGTTGAAGTTTCTTATTTAGTCCTAAACAGAAAACAAATGAACTGTATATAGCAGCACTGCGTATTGCTCAAAAGCCAACAGCTTCCACTAAAGGATGGTGGCATTTACTGATGCAATAATTTGTGTAACATTAACAATTGCTATTTGTTTTCTAAGTTTGTTAACATTACAATAGGGACTAAGGTAAAAAAACTATTGTCGGGACAAAATTCCACCAGTGAAATAGTGAAGTTGCTTCCTAAAACAACAGCATAGGGAACAGACATTCAGCTCAACCGCTTGCAAGTGAGTTCTTAAAACAGCATCTCTAGAGCCAGGCAATGATTTCAAGCTGTGACAGTATCAGCTAAACCCCAGACAGATGAAACGAAAGTTCTAGAGGAGAGGCTGGGCAAGACCAACCATGATTTATTAAGCGAGCCATTCATGGCAGCACTGGCCTGCTGAAAAATGCCCGGTATGCAAGTGGATTGGGTTGTGCTGTTAGACTTACCATCCTTTTGCAGAGCCAAAGGCTGCTGCTGCTTTGAAACTCATATCCATGTCTGCATTTCACTGAGCCTTTCCACTCTCAAAAGAGCACTGCAACGCCAAGGTCATGTCAAGCGTGCAGGAACTTGCCAAAATGAGTAGTCATGCCTGGACTAATTCTCTAAATCCAGGATTTTCTATGGATTATTTATAATTTTTTTTTATTTTTTTTTTAACAGTGCTGATCACAACTGAGTCACAGAAGTGCTGCATGGGCACCTCCCTGCCAGCCCACGACCGCTGAGCTCATGCTGCCTCCCACTCCATGAGCACACTGCACTGAGTCAATGACAGCACCCACAAGCAAAGGGAAGGAAAACAGTTTGTGTACTTTTAGCTCTTTTAAGGCAACAGATTTAAACAAGCGCTAGTGGAGGCAGGAATATTCACAGTATAAGCACCCACCTTTGGCACTTTAGTTGCACCCAAATTACAAGTCAAAGACTTCTGCACAAGAAGTGGAGAATCAAGCATCTCAGAGTGCAGGGGAGTGGCAAAATTAAGAAAAACAAATGGAGAAGCCTTAGGGAACCTCAAGAAGACAGTATGAATAATCACCAAGGGGATTTAAAAAAAAAAAAAAGACTAATCAGCCCATCTCATTTCCTCAAAGCTGATGCATGTGACCTTAAAACAATATAAAACATATTTTCTCATCAAAACAAGTGAAAGGTTAGTTTTACAGTATACTGACAATTCCACAGACACATGGACACACGTAGAAAATCTACCCAAAGTCTGAGAAGGGAAGAAGTCATTTAATAAAACATTCACATCCATGCTACACGTAACTTTCCACTTTGCCATTTCCAGTCATATTTTGTTGGTGTTTCAAGTAAATTGTTTTTCTAAGATCCATCAGAATCTGAAAAAGGTTCTGTTTTTCTAACTTTTATTTTCCTCCAAAGAAGCTTCTTTCTGCATATTCACCTGAAGTACAATTCAACAAGATCTCCCACTGAACTACTGTGAATTTACTTATTTTTAAAGAACTCCAAGTTCCTAGAAAATAATTGAAGCAAATCAAACACTGGTAGCACAGTCTTTTTATGCCATTCCAAGTCTTCACGTCGCAAACTCTTTAAATGAGCATCTCTCTAAAAAAATACAAACTTGAAAAAAATTCATTTTCTTAATAACCCTTAATAAATTTTCAGATAAAAGCAAAAAATAAGACCAGATACATCTGTTATATCACAAATTAAAATACAGAGACACCTGTATTTCAAATTAAATAAAAAGATAATCCCAAGTTATACAGTAAAGGAATGTTTGATGGAGACTGGTCAGGACCATCTGGGACACCTCATGCCTAGAAAACATCTTTCATTTAGGAGTTTTGCATATGAATGAATTCTCTGTGAGTAGTAAATACAGAATCTAAACACGTATATGCCAGTGCCTACTTTGACCTCTCACGTTCATATTCCTTGAACTTTCCCAGAAAGGAGTAAGTAGAGATTCCCATACTTAGCAAGTACTTGGCATTAACCAGCAGATGCTGCATTTGAACAATGGCTGTATGCAGAGGCACTGAAATCCCACTATGTTTCCACACTGCTGGTGGATACCCTTCTCCTTTGAAGAGGATTGTTTTGACTCCTCAAAAACACCCCTTCTTTCTGCACCAGCCATCAACAATGACAGCAGTGCCACAACTTCAAAATTTAGAAGTGCTATCATCTATTTCAAGCTGCCTCAGACATAAGAAGAATAAAAAGAGCAGGACATCAAGACTTTGCAACCTAGTACCAGCATTAGAGTCAGAGGCTGGCATCCAAGAACACTGATGAAACACCATTTCCTACTTTATCAAAGGAATCTCTTGTGTTATTCTAACTGATACCATCAGATATACTTCTGACCACAATGCCTTTCCCCTAAATCTTTATAAAGCTAACAAAGTGACCACGGATCTGCAGAAGGCTTCCCTAAGATGATGGTTTCCTCAGTTTACAGCACAGAATAATCTATGAATTTACAAGGGAATGTGGGTGGCTGGCCCAGAAATATTCAGTCTTTGTTGCCTTTCATTCTGTTTAATGTTAAAAAGTTATATACCAGAAGACCTAACAGGAAACCAAAGGCCCTGAATAGCAGAGATAAAGGGCTGTGCCTCACTTCTGTTTTCAGAGTCTTCATTGAGAGGAGAATATGGCAGTGAAAACATTTCTTACCCTATATGTTGTGTTACGCATTCATGACAAATCAAGAAAAGAATGGTAAACTCACAACTCGCATAAGAACGGTTGTCATCCTCACACATTTTGTGCAACTGTTGATATTCTTCTTGGGCTAGTTCGAAACGCTGCTGCTTTATTTGGTAAATCTCCTTCTTGGCATTAAGTGCCTCCTGGGCAACTATTAAATATTCCTTTAGCATGCGTTCCTGCTCCCTTCTCCATTGCTCCCTTGGGTCTTCAATTTGTGTAAGCTCTAAGAAGAAAAACGAAAAATTGATAAGACACTTTATCCCAAAAAAGGGCAAATGGTTTGGTTAAGGTCTGTTCTGCAGGTCTGCATCACAAATTGAGAGTGATATGCTCAAAAATCCAGTAAAAAGTTGCTGAACAATTAATCTGCCTAACACTACAGTGTTCAAAATCATTCCATCCAGAGTAGAAGAATAAGAAAATCGCTCTGAAATGTAAAAGGCATTTACATTTGTTTTCTCTTGGCATGCTCTAGGTTGTAGAGAAAAGAATTTGTATTTATGCTTAATTTCTTTCGCAGCCAGCTTGAAAATTCTGAGGATTACCTAAAAACCCAGAAGCACATAGGAAAACAAAAGGTATCTAGAGACAGTTGAAACAGCTTTAAAATATTACACATTAATTTCACACATTTAATATTCTGAAAGGCTAGTGACTACACCTACCTAGAGAAGAATAAAGTAATTCAACCAGAATTCATGCAGAAGAGCACTTACGTTGGCATTTGTTTGTTAATTAAGAAACAGCACTGTCATGCTTTCCCTTTCCAGAATTACAAAATCCTCGTTAAATTAAAAAACTAAAAACAGTTTTCCAGTGCAAAATTTTTCTCATATAAATTGATTTTCCAAGCTACTACATTATAGCAACCTCTTCAGAGTTACACAGATATTTGAGATATCCGCAATAATATCTAAAAAAAAAAAATTAGCTCACTTGCATTGTCTTTGGGGTGATGCTCAAGCTAGCAAACATGTTTTGCATGAAGATGTCCATTTGAAGTCTCATGTTTAAGAACACGTTAATTTCTGATGATTGAAGCTTTGATGGCAAGAAGTCACTGCAGATGTTATGCCAGTGTTCAAAGCAGTGGCAGAAAGAGCAACACAGTCAGGAGGCATACCTAGTCATTTTTTCCAAACTTTGTTTCTCATAAGAGATGAAAGCCAGTTATGTTTAATATTTATCTTGCATTCAGTAATTCAGAATTTTGGTGCTCATAACTAAATGTGAAACTATAAAAGGTTGACCTTAACAAATTAACTCTAACGATGTCAAGGTTATGCTACCAGCTCTGCCATTTACAAGCCATTTGAAAAGTAGATAGAAACACGAAGCTTGTTTATGAACAGTACTCCCAGCAGAACTACCATGTTCCCAACTACCTTTATTCAGCTGTAACTTTCCACAGCTCCTCACAATGCAAGAGTACGAAGCTTGTGCCTACAGTTTTGTCCTTTCTCCAATACGTTCACTGTATTGCAGTGACCTTTCCAGCAGAACCTCCAGTTTCCAAAATCTCTCTGCTCCAACATCCCCAACCTACTTCCAGAGCAGGATGTGCTGTGACTTGTTCCAGTCTCCATAAATGTTTATGTGCCTAGTTTCTGCACGCATGGGAAGCAAAAGAAAACTGCTGAGTTCACACCACAGCCCATCCTCCAGTGAGGGCACGATAATTTGCAACACTATCACATCCATCAGTGTTCCTGAAATGTATGAAAATATAATATTCCTAAAGCTACTGTCCTGCGTGGAAACTATGCAAAAAATAACTAATATTTGTGAGACAGAAAAACTGTATCATAGTAAGCATCTCTTTTTGAATGGAAAATTAATAGTTCTACTATTAGCTAAATTACACTGTATTGCACATTAAGCTTTGAGGTCCTATACTATATGGTACGGCATCACTTATTTCAGAAGCCTTCTCCAAAGCTGGCAGCATTCTTCTGAGACAGAAAACTACTTTAGTACAGTAGTGACATTCTCTTCTGTTTTATGAGTATGGAGTCTTCACTTTGCCCTGGATTTCTACATAAGTTTGTCATGTAATAAGTGAAACTAATGCTAAGTTGGATGGTAAAATTCATTTCCTTTGTTTCTTTATACACAATTTATAAAAAAATACAAGACTACAGTAATTCAAGAACTGCCCCAGACAAATGCAGGCAACAGATTATTATTCCCCCACTGGGGAATGCCCAACTGGTTAAAGGAGACTTCAAAGGCTCTCAAGACTCTGAGGAGGAGGGAAAGGAATTCTGCGGCTGGCAGCCACCACGGTTTTTTAAGCAATGGTTGGACCAGAGCCAAGAGCAGCTTAGTAAGGGTGTCAACAAAGTACTGAATTTACAGAACAAGATGGAAATCAGGGTTGGAAGCAGCGTTGAGATTTACTGAAGATTCCTCTGTTCCTGGGGATTTGCAATATAAATGGAAAAGTATTGCCTAGAAGAAGTTTTTACTACTTTCTAGGTAAACAAACTTAGTAAGAAGCTTGAAAAAAAATGAGATGCATTACTGATTTCCTTTAAAAGGGATACGGGCAAAAAGCTGAGGATACGCAAAGCATGAGAGTTCCTCAATAACCATAGCTTTTAAAAGAATCTATTTGAATCGTCTCTGGCATTTTCTCACAGAATTTCTTGGAACTAAAGCACTACTATTTTGCCAGTTAACACAGCTCCATTGTTGTCTTAAAGCATTTAAACCTGATCAGCCACTAAAGGCATCCTGGAAGGGTTTAAATAATCAACTTGTTTTCACTTGGAAGTTGCTTTTCAAGTATTTTAGACATAATTCAGAACATAACGCAAGGGAATCATTTCAGAAAAACATTTATTCATTGCTCTACCATCTCTGCTGCCTGCCTGACACGATCTCATGATGCACATGATTCATTAGTTCTCACTTCTACAAAAGAGGTTAATGTCACCTTGATTGGTACTTCTGTTGTCCATGGTTTAAAATTGGATCAGCTATCCCAGTAATTTCTGAGTAACGATCACCCAGCTCTAATATCAATTTTGTTTTCCCTCTGAATATAAATCCTGCTTGCATAAGCAAGCACTGCATTAGCCTAAGGGTGACAAACCCATTTTGCTATGACGGCTGAATTACCATTTAGGATAATATCTGTGGGCTGCAAGTAATTAGTTATCATGAAAGAGACAAATTTTGCAACCTGGTTAATTGCAGAATGATTCCTTTCACTCAGTTCAGCATTGGCACTATGAAGTCTTTATCCATCTGTTCATATATTACCTTTATTTATTTCATAATAAGATTAGATGTATGTTCTCAGACCCATTTGTATTAATCTTTTCTTTCTATGCCTTCCTATTAAGCATTTGGGAATTTAATTTCTCTCTGCAAAGACCCCCTTCTACAGCTTTTGCTCGGATTGCTCAGAAAAAAGAATGCAAGCCAGATCTGACATGCCTACAATGATTAATATCCTTTCTGTAAGTTCAAACTTGATATCTGTGGTAAAACAGATAATAACAAAGTCTGAAAAACAAAAGGGAGTGATTTCTTTTGCATGCAGTGGTGATTGTTATTCCTGTCCAAGATGTCTATTGCTAGAATCCTTTCTTAACTCTTTTAGTCAGAGCACCACAGTGGGAGTTCATGTTCTACCCATCATCTACAGTGGCTTCTAAAGCATTTTAAAAAGTTTATAGGAATAACAGCTGCCAATATCCTCACGTTTTGTTTTGTTTTCAATGTGTGCCTTCATGTAGCCATATATTGATACAAAAACACTCTATTACTATACACCCAAAACAAAGTTCACTTTTCATTTAATTTCAGCATTAACTAAAGTTACCACAAGAGCTTAAACAGCTATCCTGAAACTACTACTTCTTTTAAATAGAGAAACAACCTGTATTTCTTAACTTTCAGTTGGCTAGGATATCTATCCTTCTGATCAGAGCATTAACAGCTCTTCTAAGATTATTATTCAATTTGTGACTCTGTTAATTTATTAATCTCACAACAAATAAGCATCCATGAGGGTCAAACAATATCATGAGATACATGAGATAAATGAGAACGTTTCTTATTCTGCTGTTGGTGGTGGGTTGCTTTCTTTTTTTTTTTTTTTTTTTGTTTGTTTGCTTTTTTAAATAACTGTTTAATCACAACGGACAAATACTGCCAGTGATGGCAGGAAGACAAAAACTACTTCTATATTTCAATTTTTTAATTGACTGGATTTCAAGTAGATAGTAGTCAGGTTGTTTTTACAGATTATACCATTTACCATTACTGTGATAGCTCACATAACCACTTTCTTCTTTCCTCCCTCCCCGCCAACTGCCAGTTCCCACAATATTGAAAGCATCCACTCATTGGTGATAAGAAGCTTAATGATATCAACACAGCAGTAACAGCAACTGTAGTACAAAGCTGTAAAGATAAGACATACTACTTTAAAACTAGAACTGGAAAACGTGCCAAACAGAAGTGATATAAAGCTCAGCAACAGGTAACCAAAAAGGTAAATGATGGATATCATTCCCATTCTCAGAGGGTCATGTATTTTTTGTATTTTGTGACAGCCCTTTAAAAGTATAAAATACAGGCTGTGTAAGAGTGGATGACATTACTGTAATTGCAGATTAAAAATCAGCACTCCTCTCTCAGAATAGATTTTGTTTTTCAAGATAGAAGAGTCAAGCATCGATCACTAGAAAGCCATGCAAAGCAAGAGTATAGCATGGAAATTTCAATATACGCAGAAAACAACAAAATTACTGGCTGTTCATTATTTGACAAAGCAAAACAAAGCAACTTTATGCACTATCTCTCTGTCATCAATTATAAAATTCTTTACAAAGGAAAGAAGGGCTGTGCCCCCATTTCCCATTTAAAAGATGATGAAACAGATAGTGCAAGAAATTACTTGTATACATTCTCTTGCTGTAACATGAGTTGCATAAATGGTATCGGACGCAAAGATAGTGCCATCAGTTCACATCAGCTTGCTGGTGTTCCTAAAAATAATCGCACTTCTACTCACGATTTATGTGGTCCATATAATACACTCCAATCTGCTGATCGTAAACAGTTTCCCATCCTAAAGGAAGCTCATCACCAACACAGTCAGCAAATGTCAATGGCTTTGTAATCCTGTAAAAAGAAAAATAACGTAAATGAATACAAAAGATGTAGTTTGCAGTGCCACAAGTGTCTTTATGTTTTGAATATATCACCATGATCTGATCACAAAATAGTTATGCTGCTTAGGAATGTGCTAATAATCACAAACATACAGTTTCAAAATAAAATTTCATTTAAATATGCTGACAGATACTCCCCAAACAAGTAAGACAAGCTTCTCCCTTCAAGTTTCTATGTTTAACAATTTAATTGCAGTGGCATGCAGTCCTGCCAGTTTTTTTCCCATATTGCAAAGAACACAAATATGAAAGCTGGAGTTTGTCACTGCTAAAAAATACCAGAAGCTTTATAGGCTTTATCCTCTTTTATGATGTCAAAGCAGTATAATTGTTTGTCCTTAAAAAATGAAAACAAAAATAATAACACTGTAACACATTTCTTTTCAATTATGCATTTCCAACTATTAATTATATTCTTTTGGTCCTGACCCATTCAAATTTCTTCCTATCCCCCAAAGCAGAAACAAGGAAAAACAAGCCATTCCAGTTGTCCAGTAGATACACCAGACAATCATTACCAAAATACATGCAACTTCACACAGTAAGCAGAACTATTACATTAACCCACCTTCTAAAATTATCCAAGTACTTTTCAGATTAAAGTGTTTAAAACTGACTGTAGTAGGATATATATATTTATCCTCACTAGTTTTACAACTACAATGTTTCGATCAGTTTTTTTTTACAACAGCACAAAGATCAAGTATAAGAAGAAGTTTGATGGGTTCTCAAACATGTATAAACAATGAACATATGCATAAACCCATGCACCACTATTCAGAGATTTTCCGTTACTGACAAATACACAGTACATGTCATGTACTCATGTAAACACAGAACTGCTGCATTCAAGAAAGATGTTACTATGGGCTGTCATATGCATTCTTTCAGTAATTAATCTAGCAGGCAGGCCGAACAGTGCTGAAATACTTCTGATCTCCCTGGTGTTCAGCCACATATTAAAGATACAGTATACAGCATTTTCTCTTAAACTCTCATGGTTTTGTTCTGAAGACATAATGTTTACAATTTCTCAAAACAGTCTAGACATCAGTTCCTAAATTACCACTCTATAGACAAGATTTTCTTTGGAACAAGTTATGAGACATGCTTGCCTATTATACAAACACACCCTCACCCTTTATTCCTGCATAAAACCTGCACGTCATACTCCAACCTTTCACACTACAAGAAGTTTAATTCATCGCTCCCCATGGTCCCACCACTACTCCAGCTTCCAGAGCAAGTGTAATGCATTCTTTCTGGAGAAGAACGACCAAAGAAAGTCAATGCAACTGGCCTAACCAGTTCTCATTCCAATATTATAAAGCGTGCATGAACAGTTTAATTAATGGTTTTGAAGGAAACTTTGTAAGAAAAAGGACGTATGAAAAGCTGTCTTTCAGACATGCAGAATATTAACTTGATGTTGCTCATTTTAAATCACATCCAAAGTTGCTCCAGTTTGGTCTTTCAGACAGAGCATAATATAACATTGATTCACAACTGAGTCACATTCAGGCATATGTAGCTTGAATCTTCACTCAACTGCTCAAAACACACAAAGTTTAAGAATGAAAAGTTTCTCCCCGTGTTTTGCCCCGATTTAACTAAGTCAATTGAAAAAACACATTTCTTGTCTGATGAGCACAACTGCAGAATTCCTCTGGCACCAGTTTCCACATTAACTGCTCCTGGCCATTGGATTTACAGCTGAGGTGTAAGTAGCAGTCATCCAAGAGGGCCAATTTTGCACATGTCAAAGAGCCGACCACAACTGCAGATTGTTCAGCTATATCTTCACTATCTTTAAAACTTCACCCTTTCCAGAAATAATGATGGTCTTCAGTCACTAGACACTTGTTATTTTGGGACTCAGAAACTCTTCAAAAGCAGATACTGAAATACATAGCAATGCTTCTATCACCAAAATTCTGCAAACTAAGCTGAGTGAGCAACCTTTGAGCACAGTTTTGCTCCTCTCCCCTTCAACTCTGTCCAAATTAAATGTTTTCCTTAAGTAGTAATAGCAGGAGCGTGGTACTCGTATGCAATAAAACAGACATTTCTGAAAACCCAAGTTTTATTAATGCTTTCTGTATCTGGATTACAGACTGCAAAATAAATCTCAAAGGGTGAGCATAATGGTTTCTGATTACAAGGTGTTTATACCCTTCCTTGCCAATTCACGCTGTACCTTTATCCATTACACATACCCAGGAGGCTTCTGTAATGCATTACTGCAGCGTTCTGAATATAGAACAGCCAGAGGAACGTCTTGAATTAGTTCATGGCAGAGAGCAGGTGGGAAGGAAAGCAACACGCAGTGACAAAATACCGTTTTAGATAAATTACAGCAAAACTGTTCTCAGCTCTAACATACTTTGCAAACAGTCTAATTTCAAACCCCCAAACCCCAGGAAAATTCAGCCTTTAAATAATAAAGAAGCACTTCCTGGTTCAAAGAAAAGGTATACTTCAACTCCCAAACCACAGTCCCACTGCTAATACGGGCAGCAACTTTGTTACCAGAAGTTTTGAAAACAGAACTAGATCACTAAACACACAGCTCTTCAGAAAATTCTCAAAGAGCTCCTCAGGCCACCCATGGTACAAAGAGGGGCCTGACTGCTTGAGATCTTCAGGTCTGACTGAGCGCAATCTCCAAAAATTTTGGAGAAATCAAACGTGTAACAGATAAACAGAACGTGCTTTTGCAAGACCTTGACCAGAAAATCAAAAAGTAGAAACTCCACAGCATACCCACTGCCATCTCTCAGACAATACGTAGGTACTTAAACTGTAATTCCTCAGTGAACAGAAGAGAAGGCTTGGGGTGACCTCATTGCAATTTTCCAGTACCTAAAGGGAGCCTACAAACAGGAGGGAAGTCAACTCTTTATGTGGGTAGATAATGGTAGGGCAATAGGAAATGGTTTTAAGTTGAAGGAGGGAAGATAACAGGGGAAAGTTCTTTACCAAGAGAGTGGTGGGGTTCTGAAATAGGCTGCCCAGAGAGGCTGTGGATGTCCCATTCCCGGAGGTGTTCAAGGCCAGGTTGGATGGGCAGCCTGGTCTAGTATTAAAATGGGGAAGTTGGCAGCCCTGCCTGTGGTGGGGGGGGGTTGGAGCTTGATGATCCTTGAGGTCCCTTCCAACCCAAGCCATTCTATGCTTCTATGACTCTGTGCTTAAATGACACCCAGGGTACCCTTGTCTTCTAAGCTTGGGCCAAGTATTAGAGGAAAATATCAACCCCAAAGGCTACAATTCATAGGTTTTGAAAATGTACCAGCAAATTCTCAATCAAATCAATCATTTGTATGGAATGAATGGAAGGAGAGAAGAACTGTCAACAGGGCTTTGGCTTTACTTTTGATTTTGGACAGGTCCAAAGCCATAAACATCTATCAAAATTTGACACTGCTCAACAAATAAGAGGAGAAACAGCCTCTTAAGGCCAATCTCAATTTGAAGAGCAACTGCTTGGGATATATTTTTTTTTGCCCAATAAAACCCATGTTATAGGCTAGAAAACTGTATCAATCCATACCACAGATCTGAAAAATAAAATGCAATTTGTAAATAAGTAACAGTATAACTAGAAAGAATTAGCCATTCTGACAAACCTAGCAATAGTTTATCCAAAGTAAAGAATTACATCTATTACCGAAGAGCTACAAGACAAGAAAGAGCTGGTAAGAAATCATGTGCATGCTTAAAGACCTTCTGCCACAGTTTTTTTTTTAACCTGCTTCCAAATATGCCTTTAATTACACTCCTTGTTATAAATTTCAGCTAATCCTCTTGCCTTGCACCATAGCTTGTACTTCCCCCAGTGTAAGAGGCAAAAAAAGAAATCAATAATCTGAAAAAGAGCAGAAGGCTGTTTTGTTGTTCCACAGTTCAGGGCAAGGAGGGCAAGAGTGGCTGTTTGCCTTCAGAAGTTAGCCTCCTGTTCTGAAGGGTACCCCGGGGCCTGAGGACTTCTCTGGAAAAGGAAGCCCTGAGGCCACCCGTACCCTGCGCGGAGGCTCTCCAGAAAGGCCTCTGACAACTGAGTACACGCACATAACGCATATATCCTGCTGGTGCCAAGGCCCGGCACTGTCACAATAGCTCAAAACCAGAGCCATCTACCAGGTGACATCCCCACAGCCTGAGGCAGGTGTCACCATGAATGCTGAATGCCTCTCTCTGAGCTCTCACTGTCAACCCTACACAATGGATTAAGTGACATCTCCAGATCATAAGAATAAGCTGGATTTCAAAACAAGGTTGGGCGATTGCACGCTGCTTAGTCAAAAGCACGATGAAATTTGACCAAACGTTATGTATAGAAAAAATTCCCTTGCAACGTTCTTAATCCGAATGACATATATCTTCATTTTACCACTTTAACCAATCTCACATTGAGAATAAAGTAACTTTCTGAACATGTGCTTGACACATAATTAAAATAAATCCACAGTGCAGAAGGCCAAATGGAAACTTGCACAAATGAGATTCTGTGCTTGGAACAAAGACTTGAGGAAGGTAACTTGTACTCAAAAGCCATTGCTGGGACATACTTCCCCTAGGAATAAAACTACCCTACAGCAAGGAAATAATAACTCTAATTCTTCTAAAGGTCACTTCAAACTCAGTCGTTTTAGGACTGCACTGTATTTTGCAGTAATTTCAATTCTTTTTTAAAGCAATAAGCACATGAGAAGAGTGCTACTAGCATCAAATCAGTATATTTGACTCAAAGTTTTATAAAGTAACATAAGCAAAAGCATACATTAACTTACAAAATAAGGCACAGAATAGAATTAGTCATCTACAATAATGAATCAACGTCTTTATGCAAGGATAAAAAATAGATAACTGAAAGATAACATTTCTATTTTAATGAAAACAGCAGTTAACTGCCTTTAACACGCTCTATTACAAAC